ACTGCTGCCAAATTTATATTTTTACCCAATCCACCAAGGAAACGTGAAAAAAAAAAACGTTTTTTCTTTCAAAATTCCTTGAGCAAATGAGAGGTTTACATTCAGTTTACTTTGCTGAAACTGATCATTGCTGAAATAGTTTCAGATTAAGGATTGTTTTGGATAAAATCTAAAATCAAACTTTTTTGTGGGGGAAAGTATTTTTACCCCATTGATGAGGACATTCAAAAATTGTTTAACTACAAAAATTTTGCTAGCAACATACAGAGTTCTTTGAAATGCATTACACAAACCTAATTTGATCTTAACATTTTTTTTTTAAGGTGCCCACGTGTTCTGTTATTGTGTGCCAAAACAGATCATCCCGCCCCAAACTCATGCCATTGGTTGAGTGCCAACTCAAATGTACTATGTTCCAGCAGAGTTCACTGTGTGGTCGCAGGTGGAGAGGATGACAGCTCGAGTGTACTGCACTGTGTTATTGTGTCTGGCTGGATGCTGGAGCTCAACAGAAGCTGGACGAAAAAAAGGTGAGATCCATGTTCTTTAACTTCATTACACAGTCTGAAGAAATCCATAAACAAGTGCCTTACTAAATATGACATCTCAGCATGAACATACAGTACAGACATCCAGTGAAAGATGAACTTTGAATGCTTTATCTATTTTTTTATTTTTTCATCGTACAATGGAAACGCACATTTTTTTATACAGTAAAACTAGAACATTAATGTTAAATGTTTTATATGAATATGGTTTAAAACATGAGATATGTTTGCCATTAATCTGCCCCCACAAAAAGTCTATATTTTCCAATTTTAACAACTATTATATGATATTACATGGGGAGCTAATTATAACTTATAAAGGTCTGAGTTTTTTTTTTTTTTTTTTTGTGGATTAAAATCACTGTAAAAAATTTGGAGTAGGATTTACTTGAAAAAACCTTGCTAAACGATCTCACTCAGAAAATGCTAGTAAATTTACAAAGATTTGCCAAGTAAAAACCTATATATTTAACATATTTATCAGTAGCTTTAATTAGAAATCTTTAAGTTAAATTTACTTGGAATGTGGAATTAAGTAAACTTTACAAAAAATTAGTAACTTTAACTCGGCTTGTAAAAGGTTGATTAATACCGATTTCCTTTGCCTTTGTATTACACTTCACTAAAACAATTATCTTGAATTTTATTAGTCATTTATAGTATGTTCTTTACTTAGATCATCTAAGTAATTTATATATACATCATGTCAGACTTTAAGCCTTATGTGAATGCAAACACCTCAATACTTGGTAGACAATACACAATGGTGGTAACATTTGATGGATCGTTTTTGTGTTTGAATGTGTCGTTTTAAGCAAAAAATTTACTCGAAATGTCACAAAATGGCAATTTACTACTACTGAAAACAAAAATCAATGATAAAACAGTGTAAATACAGCTGGAAACCAGTGAAAAATGAACCTCATTAATTATTCAAGGTCCAGTGCATGATGGGAACCCCAGTATCAGAAAAGTTGAGTAATTTTTACTTAATTTTTTTGAGTTGATATTACACTTTCATTTATACTCGCTTGAAATAAGTACTTATATGGAATTTACTTAGTTTTTTAAATTCTTGTCTGAACTAACTTTTTCAAGTAAATTACATTGGGTTTTTTCACTAGTATTTACTTAACCAAAAAATCATTTTTTACAGTGTGCTTAAAATGAATTTTTGACATGCAATTGGTTACAACTCTTGCTACACACTTTTTTTTTTATCTGACACTAACTGACAGTTCCGGGATATTAGATTTCCAAACTACTTTGATTTGAAGCAGATGTGAATACGCTTGGGACATATAATGCAAAGCCACTGACTTGCTGAAAGATGCTGAAACAAATTATTGTGACCATTATATAATGATGCTCTTCTGTAGGGGGCTTTTACACTCCGGGGAAGGTGACGGTCCTGGGGACCAGTGGAGGATGTGTTTCTCATAGAGACTGCTCTGAAGGATATAAATGCTGTGGGGGCGTGTGTTTGCCGCCTTCTTTCAGTGAGTTGAAATTTATTTATAATAATGCTAGAGGTCTTTCAAAAGGAACACTGAAAAAAAAAGAAATTGTAAAAAGAAATTGCTAGTAAAGTTTAAAAAATAATTACAAAGAAACAGAAAGTAATTGAATAAAACATTACATTTTAAAGTAGAAAGAATGATATAGTTCTTTCTCTTAAAAAGCCTTCCAATAACATACAGGTACAAATTTATTTTTTACAGAAATATTTTTTTCAGTGAAAACTTAATTCAGCATTCATGATCTGGCTTCTCTGTCATGTGTTTGTATAACAGTAAAGCCAGGAGTGTGTCCAAGCACAAAATATGAAGCAGCAGTGTGTGCCCTGCTAAATTTCGAGCCGTGTGCCGATGACAGTGACTGTCCCAGCAATCAGAAATGCTGCAGCAATGGATGTGGACGTCAGTGTGTGGATCCAGTTACAGGTATTATATTATATTATAATATACTATGGGGCTTTTAAATTCTTAAATCTGATTGTTTGACTAATTTGAACTGCTTGAATATTCCAAGGTGTGCAATTATTTTTGGGGATCTTAAGTAGTTCCAACCAGGTCTTGACCGCAATATGTCCATATCACTTCGCCAAACGATTTTAGTTATTTCAAAGGTCCTTACAGTAACAACAGCAAAAGAAAAAAATCAGTGTAAATGTCATTCAGCATTCAGTGATTTGTGCCCAAGCAGAAAATATGAACTAGGAAAGACTGCCCTGAAACTTTTTGTGCAGTATATTATATTATATTATTATAAGCTATTATATTATATTAAATTAGTATCACACTCAAAGCTGTGTGATCTGGCTGTATTTCAGCATGGCTGTGGTGGAGTGCCGTATTTCGCCTAGTCAAAACTTAATTTGAGATATCTGAAAAGGAACATGTAGATATCTTGAATTGAGGTAAATTAAAGATACCTTGAACTGGAGTTATGACTAGTCAGAATCAAATTGTAGATATCTGAAACTGGAATTACAGATATCTAATTCAGTTGCAGATGTCCGTAATTCACATAGATATCTCCAACTGAATTGAAGATAACTGTAGTGACAAACCCCATACAAATGAATGGCAAAAGTGATGTCATTTGTCCTAGGAAGAATGTCTTTGTGGATATCTGAAATGACAATTATGGATAGGACGAATGTAGTTGTGGATATCTGAAATGTTCTTTTTGACTAGTTGAAACTGAATTACAGATATCTTCAACACATATCCAGTCTAGCTGTTAAAATGTAAAAATGGCTTGCCATAGAATATAATATCATGGATCTGACCTGATCAGAGATGTATAGTAACGAAGTAGAACTACTTAAGTACTGTACTTAAGTACTAAAATGCTATATCTGTACTCTACTAGTATTTTTTTTTGTCATACTTATACTTTTACTTCAGTAGGTATTTTCGATGAATTTAATACTTTTACTTCGATATTTTTTTAATGTTTTGCTAGTTACTCGTTACAATTATAAAAATATTACAAATCATTCATTGCAAGTTGGCTTTCATGCTGATTGACACACACATTGAAAACTAATGCAGGGGTTATCCTGCAATGACATTTTTTTGGCGACCACCAAAGCAAATTTGTATCCCGCCAAAGCGCCTTATTTGATTGCTAGTTCAAACTTTTGACTTCTTTCTTTAATACTTACATGACACAATACTTGTACTTTTACTTTTAGTACTTAAAAAGTATTATTTTTTAATTTAGGCTAATACATTTTATCATACAAAGTTAAGGATTCATTATTTTGATATAACGTAGCTTGCATTTGAACAAACACTATAACAGTTGATTTGTTTATTTTTCACAAAACATGCAATATTTTAACATGAGTGGAAACTGTCTAACAAAAGCTTATTTTATGTCTATTTTAGAGTAAAAACTTTATAATCTAACCAAAACTAGTCAACGAAAAATTAGAACAAATCTCAGTTGGCAAAAGGCAAGGTAGTTTGGATGTGTTCATGTAAAAATAACGTTTAATAATGGAGGAGCGAGAGTGAATGAACGCACAGGTGCGATGTGCATCTGTAGTAAACAACATCGAGCGCGCGTGTGCCATTCATTCATTCCCACACAGACATGCAATTCATATTTAAATAGTCTTTTTGCAATTTACAGACACTATACAAAAACGAGATTAGAACAAAGCACTTAAGAATAAATTACGTACTACATCATCTGACTCCTCGAAATTATACTACCAGCACTTCTGAGGTAGCTTTTCCAGAATTATTACGATAGTATTATTCTTCCTCACAGCGCAGCAAGACAAGGTAAAGTTCAAGATTTAACTTGTCTTATTAAACTGGATGTTTCATCCAGCTGATATAGGCGTTGGCATGGCTTGCCTCAAAATTTGCGTTAAACGTGTGCTCTCAGTGGGCGTGGTCACTAAACATGTAATAAGCTATAATTAGCTGAAAGGAAAAAGACTGACATCTCTCTCTTTTTATACAGATTACATAAACTGAGAATATTTGTTTTTCATGTAAATTACTTCATGTAAAGTAAGATAATTTCAGCTTCAAAATGAAAAATTTGCCTTGCCCGTGTCACAAGTACTTAGTTATATTTCATTTTCGGTCACATTTCAGAATGAACTTCACGGACAGAAACAAGGCAAAATTTACATCATGTTTATTTTTCTTTATTTTGACAAAAACAGTGAGTATCCACAAAAAAATAGACACGTAACAAGATCTAATGATGTAAAACGTAAGATCAAAATCATCGGAGTAATTTGAGTCTCATTTGATCTGATAAGGAAAAAAGTGAGCCCATCGCGCCGCCGCTAATGCCGACCACAGAGAGTTAAAACAATCTTCATGAAAACTAATTATAATAAATGTCACATTTACCTGTGCTCTTCAATATATAAGGGCTCATTTTTTTCTCTGTCATGTGTCTGTATAACAGCAAAGCCAGAAGTGTGTCCAAAGACAAACGGTGAACAAATAAGGTGTATCAGGAAGGATTACGAGTTGTGTGCCGATGACAGCGAGTGTCCAAAAAATCAGAAATGCTGCAGAACTGCATGCGGTGGAACTCGGTGTACGGCTCCAGTTACAGGTATTATATTATACTCTTATATTATATCTCTTAACTAATGCTGTTAACAATGGGAGTCAGTTGTAGCATATAAGCTCCATTAGCCTACTATAATGTTAAAGGTCAAATTAAAAAAAATTGCCATACAAACACTTAAATCACACTTTTATTTATTTAATATGAAATATAAACGTTTTAATGGTGGCTGTCGTAAAAACTTGCCAGATTTAATCAAACATGCATTAAATATTGAAGAACATTAAACATTATAATGAATTTGTAATATATATTTAGCAAAATGCTACTCTCTTGAGTTATTTATTATTTTTTTCTTTGGTAAATGTGACGTTACATGACATTGTTTACAAGCTGTTTAACTGATGTTTTTTTCCACGGATGAAACACTGATTGAGCGATACGACGTTACATGAGACGGATTTCGATAAGTTGTACTCTATCTTTTAACACACTTTCAAACGCCCATTCATGTTTATTTTCGCACTGTAACTGGTATTATTTAAGGAGGAGATCATGTGTTCCTGCTTCTCTTGAGCTTTGCTGAGCTGAGCTATCTCACGCCACAGCGCCAAAACGCTATACTGTATATGTTTTAGAATTTCGTAAGAAAATGGACGAAATTCGAAATTTGTGACTTTATTTCATAATAATAGTCACAAAGTACAAAGATTATTGCGTTCTATTGGATGGGATGCACTCTACAATGTTCAATTCATTAATCAAATTAAAACAGGATGAATAATCGATTCTTGAGATTTGAGAATCGATATCGGTAAAATGAGAATCGATTAATATCGAGAAATCAATATTTTTTACCCAGCCCTATTATATTATTTTATATTGTATTATACTACGAGAAGGGGCGACATTACGAGTTTTAAGGGGGGTATGCAAGAAATAATTTTGGACCCCTTCTTCCAGTTGAATGCATTTTCAGGGAAACACACGGCTAAAGTAGTTCCAGGCAGGTCTTGACCACATTACATGTCCATATCACTTCGCCAAATGATTCCAGTTGTTTCAAAGGTTTTTCAAGCCTACAACAGGAAAATAACCAAAAACTCCAGTGAAAACTTCATTCAGCATTCAGTGATATGGCTTCTCTGTCATGTGTCTGTATAACAGCAGACCCAGGAGTGTGTCCAAGAAGAAAATATAAACCAGCAATGTGTGCCCTGATAAGTTTCTTGTCGTGTGCCGATGACAGTGACTGTGCCAACAATCAGAAATGCTGCAACAATGGATGTGGACTTCAGTGTATGGATCCAGTTACAGATATAATATTATATTATATTATATTATGTTACATTATTAAATGGCCCTGCACTTTCTGGCATAGAGCGGCCCACTACAACCAGTCCACAACAAATCACACCATAAACCCACCAGCTCATTATGCACAAAGCAATTTTTATACATTGTGATTTGTCTTTTGTGATTTGTGACATGTAATGAGCTATAATTAGCTGACAAGATTCAGATTCAAAAAGAAAAATCTTTCGTGCCTGTGTCACAAGTATTTACTTAGTTACAGTTCATTTTCGGACATATTTCAGAATGAACTTCACTGACAGAAAGAAGGCAGTGTTTATTTTTCTTTATTTGACAAAAAGGAGAACACTTTATTTTTATTGTAAGTATCCACAAAAAATAGACACTTAACAGGATCTAAATGATTTACAACACTTGTAAGATAAAAAATCAACGGAGTAATTTGAGTCTCTTTTGATCTGATAAGGAAAAAAGTGAGCCCATCGCGCCGCCGCTAATGCCGACCACAGAGAGTTAAAACAATCTTCATAAAAACTAATTATAATAAATGTCACATTTAACTGTGCTCTTTAATATTTCAGGGCTCATTTTTTCTCTGTCATTTGTCTGTATAACAGCAAAGCCAGAAGTGTGTCCAAAGACAAACGGTGAACAAATAAGGTGTATCAGGAAGGATTACGAGTTGTGTGCCGATGACAGCGAGTGTCCAAAAAATCAGAAATGCTGCAGAACTGCATGCGGTGGAACTCGGTGTACGGCTCCAGTTACAGGTATTATATTATACTCTTATATTATATCTCTTAACTAATGCTGTTAACAATGGGAGTCAGCTGTAGCATACTAGGCTTCATTAGCCTACTATAATGTTAAAGGTCAAAGTTAAAAAAAATGCCATACAAACACTTAAATCACACTTTTATTTATTTAATATGAAATATAAACGTTTAAATGGTGGCTGTCGTAAAAACTTGCCAGATTTATTCAAACATGCATTAAATATTGAAGAACATTAAAAATTATAGTGAATTTGTAATATGGTGCATATATTTAGCAAAATGCTACTCTCTTGAGTTATTTATTTATTTTTTTGCTGACATGGTTTTTCTGTGGTAAATGTGATGTTATATGACATTGTTTACAAGCTGTTTAACTGATGTTTTTTCCACGGATGAAACACTGATTGAGCGATACGACGTTACATGATACGGATTTCGATAAGTTGTACTCTATCTTTTAACACACTTTCAAACGCCCATTCATGTTTATTTTCGCACTGTAACTGGTATTATTTAAGGAGGAGATCATGTGTTCCTGCTTCTCTTGAGCTTTGCTGAGCTGAGCTATCTCACGCCACAGCGCCAAAACGCTATACTGTATATGTTTTAGAATTTCGTAAGAAAATGGCCGAAATTAGAAATTTGTGACTTTATTTCATAATAATAGTCACAAAGTACAAAGATTATTGCGTTCTATTGGATGGGATGCACGCTACAATGTTCAATTCATTAATCAAATTAAAACAGGATGACTAATTGATTCTTGAGATTTGAGAATCGATATCGGTAAAATGAGAATCGATTAATATCGAGAAATCAATATTTTTTACCCAGCCCTATTATATTATTTTATATTGTATTATACTACGAGAAGGGGCAACATTACGAGTTTTAAGGGGGGTATGCAAGAAATAATTTTGGACCCCTTCTTCCAGTTGAATGCATTTTCAGGGAAACACACGGCTAAAGTAGTTCCAGGCAGGTCTTGACCACATTACATGTCCATATCACTTCGCCAAATGATTCCAGTTATTTCAAAGGTTCTTCAAGCCTACAACAGGAAAAGAACCAAAAACTCCAGTGAAAACTTCATTCAGCATTCAGTGATATGGCTTCTCTGTCATGTGTTTGTATAACAGCAGACCCAGGAGTGTGTCCAAGAAGAAAATATAAACCAGCAATGTGTGCCCTGATAAATTTCGTGTCGTGTGCCGATGACAGTGACTGTGCCAACAATCAGAAATGCTGCAACAATGGATGTGGACTTCAGTGTATGGATCCAGTTACAGGTATTATATTATATTATATTATATTATATTATATTATATTATATTATATTATATTATATTATATTACATTATATTATATTATATTATGTTAAATTATTAAATGGCTCTGCACTTTCTGGCACAGAGCGGCCCACTACAACCAGTCCACAACAAATCACACCATAAACCCACCAGCTCATTATGCACAGAGCAATTTTTATACATTGTGATTTGTCTTTTGTGATTTGTGACATGTAATGAGCTATAATTAGTTGAAAGGATTCAGATTCAAAAAGAAAAATCTTTTGTGCCTGTGTCACAAGTATTTACTTAGTTACAGTTCATTTTCGGACATATTTCAGAATGAACTTCACTGACAGAAAGAAGGCAATGTTTATTTTTCTTTATTTGACAAAAAGGAGAACACTTTATTTTTATTGTGAGTATCCACAAAAAATAGACACTTAACAGGATCTAATGATGTACAACACTTGTAAGATCAAAATCAACAGAGTAATTTGAGTCTCATTTGATCTTATAAGGAAAAAAGTGAGCCCATCGCGCTGCCGCTAATGCCGACCACAGAGAGTTAAAACAATCTTCATAAAAACTAAATATAGTAAATGTCATATTTAACTGTGCTCTTTAATATTTCAGGGTTAATTTTTTCTCTGTCATTTGTCTGTATAACAGCAAAGCCAGAAGTGTGTCCAAAGACAAACGGTGAAAAAATAAGGTGTATCAGGAAGGATTACGAGTTGTGTGCCGATGACAGCGAGTGTCCAGAAAATCAGAAATGCTGCAGAACTGCATGCGGTGGAACTCGGTGTACGGCTCCAGTTACAGGTATTATATTATACTCTTATATTATATCACTTAACTAATACTGTTAACAATGGGAGTCAGTTGTAGCATACTAGGCTTCATTAGCCTACTGTTAAAGGTCAAAGTAAAAAAAAAACTTGCAATACAAACACTTAAATCACACTTTTATTTATTTAATATGAAATATAAACGTTTAAATGGTGGCTGTCTTAAAAACTTGCCAGATTTATTCAAACATGCATTAAATATTGAAGAACATTAAAAATTATAATAAATTTGTAATATGGTGCATATATTTAGCAAAATGCTACTCTCTTGAGTTATTTATTTATTTTTTTGCTGACATGGTTTTTCTTTGGTAAATGTGACGTTACATGACATTGTTTACAAGCTGTTTAACTGATGTTTTTTTCCACGGATGAAACACTGATTGAGCGATACGACGTTACATGATACGGATTTCGATAAGTTGTACTCTATCTTTTAACACACTTTCAAACGCCCATTCATGTTTATTTTCGCGCTGTAACTGGTATTATTTAAGGAGGAGATCATGTGTTCCTGCTTCTCTTGAGCTTTGCTGAGCTGAGCTATCTCACGCCACAGCGCCAAAACGCTATACTGTATATGTTTTAGAATTTCGTAAGAAAATGGCCGAAATTAGAAATGTGTGACTTTATTTCATAATAATAGTCACAAAGTACAAAGATTATTGTGTTCTATTGGATGGGATGCACGCTACAATGTTCAATTCATTAATCAAATTAAATTATATTATACAATTAAATTAAATTAAACAATATTTTTTACCCAGCCCTATTATATTATATTATATTATATTATATTATATTATATTATATTATATTATATTATACTACGAGCAGAGGCGCCATTATGAGTTTTAAGGGGGGTATGCAAGAAATAATTTTGGACCCCTTCTTCCAGTTGAATGCATTTTCAGGGAAACACACGGCTAAAGTAGTTCCAGGCAGGTCTTGACCACATTACATGTCCATAACACTTCGCCAAATGATTCCAGTTATTTCAAAGGTTCTTCAAGCCTACAACAGGAACAGAACCAAAAACTTCAGAGGCACAGTTATTTATCCCTAAAGTTTAATAAATCAGTCCATTTAACACAATGCTCTGGTATGGTCTAAATTAGGGGGTTTCAATCCTGGTCCTTCCAGGCACTGCACTTTTTAAATTGTCTCTCTATCTGACAGTCTTAGTACAGTTCATGAAGCTCTCATCTCTCGATCATGTGTGGTATCAGCTTTGATCACAGGAATAAATAACAGTTTGCAATATATTCAGATAGATTTTTACATTGTAATAATATTTTACTATATTTTTACTGTACGGCTGAATTTATTTGATCAAAAATAGGCTTCAGAATGTTGCTATTTTTGATCAAATAAATTCAGCCATCTTTTTTCACAAACAAAACTTAAAACCTTTGACCACTAGAGTAAAAAGCCACGGGAACCAAGTACACCTGGCTGCAGCCTGTAGATCGGGGTGGGACTGCACGTGTCACCCCACCCCATACTTACTTTGATTGGCTCATTCATCTTCAATAGACAAACATGATTGAAAATGTGTGCGTAGTGTGTGTAGGTCAGAGTAGTACATGGCTTGATGGTGCATGGAGTGAATGTCATCAATCAAGTTAAAAAACTGTAAAAGTGAGGTGTCTAATGCCATACAAACTCGATAGCTTATATAGGTTGAGCTCAGTCTAGAGCACACTTAAAGGGTTAATTCACCCAAAAAAGAAAATTATGTCATTAATGACTCACCTTCATGATGTCCCCAAGCCCGTAAGACCTCCGTTCATCTTCGTAACACAGTTTAAGATATTTTAGGTTAGTCAGAGAGCTTTCTGTCCCTCCATTGAAAATGTATGTGCGTTATACTGTCCTTGTCCAGAAAGGAAATAAAGACATAATCAAAGTAGTTCATGTGACATCAGTGGGTTAGATAGCACGTCAGAAGCGTCACTAAATGCGGCTCAACAACAGAATTGAAAGAGAATACAATGCTGAATAAAGTCGAAGTTTTTGTTATTTTTGGATCAAAATGTATTTTCGATGCTAACCCACTGATGTCACATGGACTACTTTGATGATGTCATGAGGCTGAGTCATTAATTACATAATTTCCTTTTTGGGTGAACTAATCCTTTAATCTGAGACAAATTCCACTGTTTTTTGTTAACTTAACCATGCTGTGTCCGTATCATTTAATCACTGAGTTGTTGTTTACGGCAAGTTTAATCTTCTAGATCAGTCGAATTCATAAATGAATGTTATTTATTGTGAACCAATCCATTTAAAAGAATCGGTTCAAAAGATTCGCTCACGAAACGGGTCTTGGAGATCTCCATTTAAAAGGCTATAAAGTGAATCACAATATTTAGCCACCCTGCTAGCCACCAAATTCAAACACTTGAATTGTTTGACAGAAGTGGGTCATTCGTATGGGCTGACGGAAAGATAAGGCAACGTCCATTTTCTATAATTCATTCTTTATATATATACTTGCGTAGCAATGGACCAGTTGGACATCAACCCACCGGAAAACCTCCAGGTGGACCCGATGCCCATTCTGTCAGGAGTGTGTCCAAGCATAACAAATGAACCAGGAATGTGTGCCCTGATTACTTTCGTGCCGTGTGCCGATGACAGTGACTGTGCCGACAATGAGAAATGCTGCAACAATGGATGTGGACTTCAGTGTATGGTTGCAGTCACAGGTATTTTTTTATGTTTTATAAAACGGTTAGTTCGAATCCTTGATTCTGATTGGTCAAGAGCTGTGCTTTATTCACGATAAAACATGGCTATGACCGCTTCACCCAGTGGTGTAGTCTAGTTTTTTGTAGTGAGTATACTGTGATATTCCTTTAAAATTCGGTTTTAATAGATTTGATTATTATTTTAAAAATTACATTTTACTATGCAATTTCTTTCATAATTCCATCGAGTTACTTTATTTATCTCTATAAACTGTTGTAAATTAAATAAATTTGAACTTCTGTGTGTTTTAATAAACTATTATTAGTATTATTAGGCCTACTTGAAGTAGGCCTATACTCTACTGTGCAATAGTAATATATTTCTTTTATATTTTCTTCAAGTGATACAAAACGTTGATTTTGACAGGTTGCATGAAGCAGGGGCGTCATAGGATTTTGATCATCACTTAGGATTTTTTCTAAAAAAAAAAAAAGACAAAAAAAAGGTAACACTTTAGTTTAGGATCTAATGCTCACTATTAACCAGTTTCATTACATGCAAATGCAAAGGCAGGGTTTTTCATAATCACTGTTGTCCCAAATGTGAGGTAGGTAGAAAAATTTTAATTCTCTGATCTACATATGTGCATTTTAGGATGTTTTGAAGGCCAAAAAAAAAAAAATAGATAACAGCTTTAAAACCATGTCAGCGGGCACTGGGCAGCTGATTATTTGTCTCTCCTCATCAGCATCACCCTCTTTTACTCTTTGTTTTTATCTTGCCCTGTCTCTTCCCCTCCTAAAGATGAGCTTTGACTGATATAGGGTTTTCATTTTTGTCTGTCAGTGAAGACAGTAAACATGGGGTCAACTGATGAACAATGAATAATTTTTTTAATTTCTCTGATGTGCATTTCAAGACGTTTGAAGACCATTTTCTCTAATTAAGAGCAATTAATCACACCTGAGATTGAAGTACTTTTATATAATGTAATTTTATCTTTAATCTCAAAATGAATGTAGAAACAACATAAAGACAGTGGCAGATATGTCAAATGTTTGTTTAATGGCATCTTTTAATGAAAGAAGGCATCACTGATACCAGTTCTGCTTTGTCTCTATGAAAAATTTGTTTTACTATGGACCCAAAACAAACTAAAATTTGTTTTAGTTTGTTTTGGGTCCATTCCTATTCCCCAGGGGGTAACACCTGGTCTCGGGGGAGAGGGGAGATATCTTGAAAAGACATCACCCCTGGAGGAGAACAGGATTCTCCTAAGTTCTCAATCTTTTTCCTATTTCCAATAACTGTAATGAAATTAAGACCATTTTACCAATCGCACTGAGACACTTAAAATGATACCAAACATGAAAAGGGAAAACCTTAGATTCACAAGCAAAAGAACAATAAACACCTATCACCCAAAACTTTATTGGGGCATCTCCCACAACAGAAGAACAGGCATTGTTTTATTGTTCTGCCTGTTCTGCTGCTGCAGGAATGAAACAATTTTACCACTCTCTCCAGAAGTATTTATTTTGCCCTTGCATAACACAGCTGGAGGCAGGAGGTTTGTGAGATTTGCATGCCTGAATGAGCCCTGGAGGGGAGAAGATATCCCCACAACATGGGGCGAAGATATCGGGTTGGGCCAGTTGTGTGGTGCCCTCTGTCCCTTTGATCTCTTTTACAGATTAGTGAGTTTTTATTGTTTTACTGCAGTTTCGAATTCCTAAATTCAGTCTTAGGAAAGTCCTTCCTTACAATCATACAATCATAATCAACAGAGTAATTTGAGTCTCTTTTGATCTGATACGGAAAAAAGTGAGCCCATCGCGCCGCCGCTAATGCCGACCACAGAGAGTTAAAACAATCTTCATAAAAACTCATTATAAGAAATGTCACATTTACCTGTGCTCTTTAATATTTCAGGGCTCATTTTTTCTTTGTCATTTGTCTGTATAACAGCAAATCCAGGAGTGTGTCCAAAGACAAACGGTGAAAAAATAAGGTGTATCAGGAAGGATTACGAGTTGTGTGCCGATGACAGCGAGTGTCCAGAAAATCAGAAATGCTGCAGAACTGCATGCGGTGGAACTCGGTGTGCGGCTCCAGTTACAGGTATTATATTATACTCTTATATTATATCTCTTAACTAATGCTGTTAACAATGGGAGTCAGTTGTAGCATATAAGCTTCATTAGCCTACTATAATGTTAAAGGTCAAAGTTAAAAAAAACTTGCCATACAAACACTTAAATCACACTTTTTTTATTTGTTTAATATGAAATATAAACGTTTAAATGGTGTCTGTCGTAAAAACTTGCCGGATTTATTCAAACATGCATTAAATATTGAAGAACATTAAAAATTATAACGAATTTGTAATATGGTGCATATATTTAGCAAAATGCTACTCTCTTGAGTTATTTATTTATTTTTTTGCTGACATGATTTTTCTTTGGTAAATGTGATGTTATATGACATTGTTTACAAGCTGTTTAACTGATGTTTTTTCCACGGATGAAACACTGATTGAGCGATACGACGTTAAATGATACGGATTTCGATAAGTTGTACTCTATCTTTTAACACACTTTCAAACGCCCATTCATGTTTATTTTCGCACTGTAACTGGTATTATTTAAGGAGGAGATCATGTGTTGCTGCTTCTCTTGAGCTTTGCTGAGCTATCTCACGCCACAGCGCCAAAACGCTATACTGTATATGTTTTAGAATTTCGTAAGAAAATGGATGAAATTCGAAATTTGTGACTTTATTTCATAATAATAGTCACAAAGTACAAAGATTATTGCGTTCTATTGGATGGGATGCAAGCTACAATGTTCAATTCATTAATCAAATTAAAACAGGATGACTAATCGATTTTTGAGATTTGAGAATCGATATCGGTAAAATGAGAATCGATTAATATCGAGAAATCAATATTTTTTACCCAGCCCTATTATATTATTTTATATTGTATTATACTACGAGAAGGGGCAACATTACGAGTTTTAAGGGGGGTATGCAAGAAATAATTTTGGACCCATTCTTCCAGTTGAATGCATTTTCAGGGAAACACACGGCTAAAGTAGTTCCAGGCAGGTCTTGACCACATTACATGTCCATATCACTTCGCCAAATGATTCCAGTTATTTCAAAGGTTCTTCAAGCCTACAACAGGAAAAGAACCAAAAACTCCAGTGAAAACTTCATTCAGCATTCAGTGACATGGCTTCTCTGTCATGTGTCTGTATAACAGCAGACCCAGGAGTGTGTCCAAGAAGAAAATATAAACCAGCAATGTGTGCCCTGATAAGTTTCTTGTCGTGTGCCGATGACAGTGACTGTGCCAACAATCAGAAATGCTGCAACAATGGATGTGGACTTCAGTGTATGGATCCAGTTACAGGTATTATATTATATTATATTATATTATATTATATTATATTATGTTACATTATTAAATGGCTCTGCACTTTCTGGCACAGAGCGGCCCACTACAACCAGCCCACAACAAATCACACCATAAACCCACCAGCTCATTATGCACAGAGCAATTTTTATACATTGTGATTTGTCTTTTGTGATTTGTGACATGTAATGAGCTATAATTAACTGACAAGATTCAGATTCAAAAAGAAAAATCTTTCGTGCCTGTGTCACAAGTATTTACTTAGTTACAGTTCATTTTCGGACATATTTCAGAATGAACTTCACTGACAGAAAGAAGGCAATGTTTTTTTTTCTTTATTTGACAAAAAGGAGAACACTTTATTTTTATTGTGAGTATCCACAAAAAATAGACACTTAACAGGATCTAATGATTTACAACACTTGTAAGATCAAAATCAACGGAGTAATTTGAGTCTCTTTTGATCTGATAAAGAAAAAGTGAGCCCATCGCGCCGCCGCTAATGCCGACCACAGAGAGTTAAAACAATCTTCATAAAAACTCATTATAATAAATGTCACATTTACCTGTGCTCTTTAATATTTCAGGGCTCATTTTTTTCTCTGTCATTTGTCTGTATAACAGCAAAGCCAGGAGTGTGTCCAAAGACAAACGGTGAAAAAATAAGGTGTATCAGGAAGGATTACGAGTTGTGTGCCGATGACAGCGAGTGTCCAAAAAATCAGAAATGCTGCAGAACTGCATGCGGTGGAACTCGGTGTACGGCTCCAGTTACAGGTATTATATTATACTCTTATATTATATCTCTTAACTAATGCTGTTAACAATGCATGCTGCAATGTTCAATTCATTCATCAAATTAAAACAGGATGACTAATTGGTTCTTGAGATTTGAGAATCGATATCGGTAAAATGAGAATCGATTAATATCGAGAAATCAATATTTTTTACCCAGCCCTATTATATTATTTTATATTGTATTATACTACGAGAAGGGGCAACATTACGAGTTTTAAGGGGGGTATGCAAGAAATAATTTTGGACCCCTTCTTCCAGTTGAATGCATTTTCAGGGAAACACACGGCTAAAGTAGTTCCAGGCAGGTCTTGACCACATTACATGTCCATATCACTTCGCCAAATGATTCCAGTTATTTCAAAGGTTCTTCAAGCCTACAACAGGAAAAGAACCAAAAACTCCAGAGGCACAGTTATTTATCCCTAAAGTTTTAATAAATCAGTCCATTTAACACAATGCTCTGGTATGGTCTAAATTAGGGGGTTTCAATCCTGGTCCTTCCAGGCACTGCACTTTTTAAATTGTCTCTCTATCTGACAGTCTTAGTACAGTTCATGAAGCTCTCATCTCTCGATCATGTGTGGTATCAGCTTTGATCACAGGAATAAATAACAGTTTACAATATATTCAGAATCATCGTAAAAATATATACATCGTAATCACCGTCTGTATAACAGCAAAGCCAGGAGTGTGTCCAAAGACAAACGGTGAAAAAATAAGGTGTATCAGGAAGGATTACGAGTTGTGTGCCGATGACAGCGAGTGTCCAAAAAATCAGAAATGCTGCAGAACTGCATGCGGTGGAACTCGGTGTACGGCTCCAGTTGCAGGTATTATATTACATTAAATTAGCAGCAGCCATATTACCCTGTACCCAAGACTGGTTTCCCATTGAAGCTAAGCAGGACTGAGCCAGAGGTGCGTTTCCCGAAAGCATCGTTAGCCAACTTTTTTTTTTTTGTTAAAAAAAGTGCACAAAGCAACTACTTTTCCATGTTGATAAGAGCATTAAATTGAGAAAAAAATAATGGGCCAAAAAGAAATCAAGAGACATATAGAATAGATTAAAATTTGCGATTAATCGCAAGTTTACTATGACATTAATGCGATTAATCATGATTAAATATTTTAATCGTTTGAAAGCACAAATTTATATATATATATATATATATATATGAAATGAAAGTCAAAAGCACATTTTAGTCATACCTGGAAACAAATCCTTTCAAATGGGTTTAATGGGCCACTCTATACAATTAGTTCAAAGTAGGAAACATCTTGAAAAGAAAATTGTCTTTTTCCATAAATCTTTTAAAGTATTTATTTTTTAAAATAGGTCAATACATTTTATCACACATATTTCAAAGTAAAGGATTCGTTATTTTGATATAGCCTAGCTTATTGGAACAAAATTATAACAGTATTTTTTTTTTTTTTTTGACAAAACAATAGAAATGTAATAAATGAATTCATTATTATATTACATTATACTACGGGCAGGGGTGCCATTACAAGTTTTAAAGGAGTTGTTCACTTTTAAATAAAAATTCAAAAAGAAATTCAGGTTTTTGATGAAAATTTTCCAGGATTTTTCTCCATATAATACACTTCACTGGGCAAATCTGGGCAAATCTTTTCCCCAGTGTTTTCAGGGAAACAGACAGCAAGTAGTTCCAGGCAGGTTTGACTTGCAGTGAAACTCCTGTGAAAAAGACATTCAGCATTCAGTGATGTGGCTTCTCTTTCCTTATCATAACACTTTATTTTCCAGTGATTTCTAATAAGCTTTTCATTTTCCAGTGATTTCTTATGAGCTTTTGTCTTTTGTATTGTGTGTCTTATCTCTATTTCTGCCATCTTTCTTCAAATCTCTCTCTTGCGCGTTCTCTCTCCTCTAGAGTCATAAAGTTACACCCCCTAATGCTGATTGGCTACACACGTTTGTTGTTGTTTTTCAAACAGTGATTTGTAAATATGGCGTACCCCACCTTTAATACCTCGGCTCAATTCTTCAAGCATTAAAAAGTGCTGCGCTGCCTGTTTTCTGTAGAAAGTAAATCTCACAGCTTTCGATTTGATCTCAAACATTCCGGCATTGAGCGCTTTTAGACGGCTGCACCGAGACTGCACACTAAATTGATTCGAATTGTTTGACAAAAGTGGGTCATTAGTCTGGGCTGAGGGAAAGAAAAGGCTATGTACATTTTCTATAATTCATCCTTTATATATATTTATGTAGCAATGGACCAGTTGGACATCAACCCACCGGAAAACCTCCAGGTGGACCAGATGCCCATTCTGCCAGGAGTGTGTCCAAGCATAACAAATGAACCAGGAAAGTGTGCCCGGATAATTTTCGTGCCGTGTGTCGATGACAGTGACTGTGCCTACAATCAGAAATGCTGCAACAATGGATGTGGACTTCAGTGTATGGCTCCAGTAACAGGTATTTTATTATGTTTTATTATATTATGTGTGGTCAATCTATAAAAAAGTTTTACTAATTAATTGCAGATTTTCTGTAATTAAGCGCAATTAATCACACCTGAGATTCAAATACTTTTATATATTGTAATTTTTCCTTTAATCTCAAAATGAATGTAGAAACAACAGACAGTGTCTGATATTTCAAACATTTGTTTAATGACATCTTTTTATGAAAGAAGGCATCACTGATACCAATTCTGCTCCTGATGTCTCTATGAAATATTTGTTTGACTAATTTAAGTAATTAATTATAGCCATTCAGCATTACAGTATAATTGAAAGCTATCGATTTTAATATTTATTAGGCTTTAACAAATAAAACAATTTATAATTCTATTATTTCTTAACCCTCTGGGGTCTGAGGTGTTTTTGGTTTCCTTGAGATGTTTGACATGCACTGACATTTGTGCTTTTTTCAGTTGCTTATAAACATATTAATGGCACAGCTGAAATGACATTTTGCACAATCAGGGCTACCATAATATGTGAGCAACATGTTTGTAAATATTTCTATTTTTTTGCGATTATATTGTTTATGCATGGTTAATGAAAAAAAAATAATAATAAATAAAGTTTCTGAAATAAGGCCACAAACATATACTAAACATATGTCCACAAGACTAATGGATGTTGTCGCCTAGAGATTTTACTTCAAAATGATTTTCCTATTAATTCACATAAAACAATAGATTGTTTGGAAAGGCAATATGCGAATGGGCGTTAACAGCTAAACCCTTGTCATGCGAGGACATATATATATATATATATATATATATATATATATATATATATATATATATATACTGTATATATATATGAATATAAATGAAAGTCAAAAGCACACTTTTAATCATACCTGGAAACAAATCCAGTTCAAATGGGTTATATGGGCCATTCTATTGAACTGGTTCAAAGTTGGAAACCTCTTGAAAAGAAAATTGTCTTTTTCCAGAATTTTTTTATTATTTTTTTTAAAGTAAGTAAGTAAGTAAGTAAGTAAAATTTATTTGTATAGCACTTTTCTCAGATGAAGATCACAAAGTGCTTCACAACTAATGAAAGCACACAACTCTCATAAATACATTGCATCACAAAACAAAATAAAATACATAAAATAAATAAAATAAACAATACGTACACATTAGACCAGCCTAACCACCCTACAATCTAGTTAAAAGCCTCTTTAAAAAGCAGAGTTTTCAGATGGTTTTTAAATTGTTCCACACAATTCAAGCCGCGTATGGAAGGAGGCAAAGCGTTCCACAACCTGGGTGCAACAACTTGGAATGAACGGTCCCCCCTAGTTTTAAAATATGAAAGGGGGACAACTAATAGTCTCTGGCCTGTTGATCTCAGACTACGTGAGGATGTACGCAGCTGTATCAGGTCAGCGATGTATGGGGGTGCCTGTCCTTGTAGGGCTCTAAAAGTTAGGACCAAAATTTTGAAGTTTATTCTTAGTCTCACTAAAGTTGGCCAACACATTTTATCATACATATTTCAAAGTTAAGGATTCATTATTTTGATATAGCCTAGCTTGCATTGGAACAAACACTATAACAGTTGATTAGTTTATTTTTCACAAAACATGCAATATTTTAACACATGAGTAGAAACTGTCTAACAAAAGCTTATTTTATGTCTATTTTAGAGTAAAAACTGTATAATCTATCCAAAACTACAGATGGTACTATGTTTGATACTACAGATACTATTCAATGTCGCAATGAGAACAAATCTCAGTTGGCAAAAGGCAATATAGTTTGGATGTGTTCATGTAAAAATAACGTTTACTAATGTAGAAGCGAGAGTGACTAAACGCACAGATGTGATGTACATCTGTAGTAAACAACATTCATTCACACACAGACATGCAATTCATATTTATACTGTCTTTGTGCAGTTGAGGTAACTTTTCCAGGATTATTACGATCGAATTATTCCTCAGCGCAGCAAGGTAAAGTACAAGATTCTTATTAAACTGGATGTTTTATCCAGCTGATATTGGCGTTGGCATGGCTTGCCTCAACATTTGCATTAAACGTGTGCTCTCAGTGGGCGTGGTCACATTAACATGTAATAAGCTATAATTCGCTGAAAGGAAAAAGACTGACATCTCTTTCTTTTCATAAAGATTACATAAACTGAGAATATATATATATATTTTTTTTTAAATGAATTACTTTATTTAAAAGAAGAGAATTTCAGATTCAAAAAGAAAAATCGTTTGTGGCCGTGATACAATACGTATTTTTTTAGTCACAGTTCATTTTCAGACAAATTTCAGAATGAACTTCACTGACAGAGAGAAGGCAAAATGTCCATCATATATATTTTTCTTTATTTGACAAAAAGAAGAACACTTTCTTTTTATTGTGAGTATCCACAAAAAATAGACACTTAACAGGATCTAATGATGTACTTGTAAGATCAAACACTTGTAAGATCAAAATCAACAGAGTAAGTTGAGTCTCATTTTATCTGTTTAAGAAAAAAGTGAGCCCATCGCACATTTACCTGTGCTCTTCAATATATCAGGGCTCATTTTTTTTTTCTATGTCATGTGTCTGTATAACAGCAAATCCAGGAGTGTGTCCAAAGACAAACGGTGAACAAATAAGGTGTATCAGGAAGGATTACGAGTTGTGTGCCGATGACAGCGAGTGTCCAAAAAATCAGAAATGCTGCAGAACTGCATGCGGTGGAACTCGGTGTACGGCTCTAGTTACAGGTATTATATTACATTATATTATATTATACTACGGGCAGGGGCACCATTACAAATTTTAATGGGGGTATTTAAGAAATAATTTTGGACCCCTTCTTCCAGTTGAATGTGTTTTAAGGTAAACACACGGCTAAAGTAGTTCCAGGCAGGTCTTGACCACATTATATGTCCATATCACTTCGCCAAATGATTCCAGTTATTTCAAAGGTCGTTACAACCTACAACATCAAAAGAACCAAAAACTGAGACACAGTGAAGAAGACATTCAGCATTCAGTGATCTGGCTTCTCTGTCATGTGTCTGTATAACAGTAAAGCCAGGAGTGTGTCCAAGCAAAACATATGAAGCAACAAAGTGTGCCCGGATACGTTTCATGTCGTGTGTCGATGACAGTGACTGTGCCAACAATCAGAAATGCTGCAGCAATGGATGTGGACTTCAGTGTATGACTCCAGTGACAGGTGTTATTACATCACATCTCATCACATTACATTACATTATATTATTATATCAGGGCTAAAAAGTGGCCCTGGACTTTCTGGCACAGAGCGGCCCACTACAACCGGTCCAAAACAAATCACAGGATAAACCCACCAGCTCATTATGCACAGAGCAATTTTTAACAGCGCGTACTAACATAAAAATATAACACTATACAAAAATGTAAACACTATTTAATTTTTTAAAATGCAATGGATGTGGACTTCAGTGTATGACTCCAGTTACAGGTATTATAATATATTATACTACAGGGCTGTTGAATGCTTTAATTTGATTGGTCCATATCACTTCACCAAATGATTCACAACACAACGAAATCAAGTCACAACAAAAGGAAATAAGCCACAACACAACGGAAATGCTTCCGACCACTAGATGCCTCTCGGCATAGTTCGCTTTTCTATCCACTGTTCTATAGACCTTATGTAGCCCCGCCCCTTTACATTACATTAAGTAAATCCACTTCAAACGCTAATTACTCCAGGACAGCAGTGCCATAGAAATATAGCCTGGCTAATGTCAGACGCAAGTTTCATTGAGCTCACGCTAAATTAAAGTGAAAGTACACTTTTAATGGACAAACTTTAGTATGATTTCACACAAAAAGTGCCCAAAATGCACAGATAAACATGTCTAGTGAGTTTAAACAAGAACTTGAGTACGCAAATAAAAGAAAATAAAGACTCAAAAGTATTTATTGAAGATTTAGGCTACCCAGTAAAATCTTGTTTTTAATTATTCAATTTGGGTGAAAGTTATGTATTATATTTTAAAAAATAAATAAAGTAAACTAGCCAGAAAATTTTATATATAAACATTTTTTTAGTTTATGTAACAAACAGACAGCTACATAGGCTAGCACAACCCATATCAAACCCGAGTGTGTGGTTTATTTGTGTGCTTTGTTTTTTATCCGTGGAGATGACTGAAACTAATAGATTGTTATAAATGAATGACCAACTTCTAAAAACAAATTTAAAGTTGGCTTTGTAAAGAATTGCTCGCTTACCGATATGTAGCTTTGGATCCGCTGCTGTGACACTGTACAAACGCTTCCAGTTTGAATCACGCACCTGCAGTTACGTTACACGTAGTTACGCTGACACGCTGCTCAAGTGTTTGCGGTGTGAAACCTATGTGTGAAATGGCCGTAAAGCCCAATTTATACTTCCGCGTCGACCTCTCGCCATAGCTACGTCGGAAGGCTGCATCAAAAGGTAACTTTGCGCCTGCTGCCATGTTGGATCCATAGGTTTAAACAAACCTTTTCGGTGTGTCGCGTAGAGGTCGTCATCGTCTTGCTGCTCCCTCCCCGTTCTGTGATTGGTTTCTTTTATGAGGCGAAAATTTGGTCCATGACTACTTGGCAACGTGAATAAAATCGTGCTGTGGCAAGGTAGTATGGGGAAACATTATTATAAGTGCCCCTCACCTGTATTTGTCCCCCAGTGGCTAGAAATTTCAATCTGTGTAAACCGAGCTTTGGCTATCTTTCTTTGCCTTTGAGAAGATGAAAGCTCTTACGGGCTTGTATGACGTAATAAGGAGGAAAGGTAACCTCCCCTTTCTCTGAATTGCTTGCCCATGAGAAAAAGAGCAAGGTAGTAGTTTTTCCTCAAGAGATATCATGGCTTGTATGACCAAAGCATGACAGTTGATCAGTGTTCGGATGTAAAAATGAACACAAAATTATTTTTTTTGTTCCTTCATCCGAGCCTCTGAAGAGACAATGTGTTAATTTTAAAGTTTTGTATGGTCCAAACATTTCACAGATGACAGAGCTGATACAGATATGGCCTCGATGTCTGAAAATAAATCGTTCAAGCTACCAAGCGACAATTTTTGATGTGTGGCCTATAAGGGTGTCATGATTTCGAAATCGATCGAAAGTCATTTACAATCTCGAACATCGAATTAAAAAATGGTCACGTCCGTTCGGCTTGCAAAACGCAAAAAAAAAAAAAAAACGTGTGTTGAAGTGCTGCGAGTTCTATGGTCAACCACATCTGACTAAATGGTGCTTTTCCACTACTGGTACGGCTCAGTTCGGTTCCGCTCGGCGCGGCTCGCTTCGCTTTTCGACTGCGTGGTACGACTCGGTACCGCTAGTACCGCTTTAAAGTGGGTGGGATTATAGACTGATCGATAACAGCGGTGGCTGTTACTGGCTATTTAGATCTAGCAGGTTTGGTTTCCCGTGTCAATGTCTATTGGTCGCAAATACAGTGACGCTGGTAGTGATGATTCTGTCTGACCAATCAGTGATCTGCAGTGTTTCACGTCACATTTTAGTACCGGTACGGTACACTTGGAACCTCAACAGACCAGGTACCAGCGAGCCATACCATACCATGCAGTGGAAATGCGCCATAAGTGAGCTGAGCTTCCGCCCATTTGGATAACTATAGACCGATTTCTAAATTGCCAATTTTAGTTTTTAAGCGGTCTGTCTGCAGATCAAAGTGCTATTGGTTTTCTCTCTGAGTTGGTAAGAAATTAAATGTGGAGGACTTTTTCTTTGATGATCGACAGGTCAGTTTGCGTGACAGGATGCGTGTAACTAAGCGACAGAGAGCAACTGTTAAAGACGCAAATGTATGAGGTGATAGTATGTCCCAAAGCTTGTCTACTCTTCTGCAACACACTAAAAAGTATGCATTTTTCCATGTGTCTGTATAACAGCAGACCCAGGAGTGTGTCCAAGCAGAACATATGAACCAGAAATGTGTGCCCTGATACGTTTCGTGTCGTGTGCCGATGACAGTGACTGTACCAACAATGAGAAATGCTGCAACAATGGATGTGGACTTCAGTGTATGGCTCCAGTTACAGGTATTGTATTATATTATATTATGTGCTGTCAATGTATATATAAGTTGTACTTATTAATTGCACATTTTATGTACCGTTAATTAAGCGCAATTAACCGTGCCTTACATTCAAGTATTTTTATATATTGTAATTTCACATTTAATCTCAAAATGAATGTAGAAACAACATAAAGACAGTGGCTGATATGTCAAATGTTTGTTTAATGGCATCTTTTTATGAAAGAAGGCATCACTGATACCAATTCTGCTCCTGATGTCACTATGAAATAGATTTTTTTCCCTATTTTTAGTTATTAATTATAAGCATTCTGCATTACAGTATAAGTGAAAGCTATCAATTTTAACGTGTCTTAGGTTTAAAAAAATCTAACAACTTAAAAAAAAACTTTTGCTGATAATTTACTCACCCCCATATCATCCAAGATGTCCATGTCTTTCTTTCTTCAGTCGAAAAGAAATTAAGGTTTTTGATGAAAACTTTCCAGGATTTTCTCCATATGATGGACTTCATTGGGAACCAAACGGTTCAAGGTCCAAATGAGAGTTTAATTGCAGCTTCAAAGGGCTTTAAACGACACCAGACGATGAATAAGGGTCTTATCTAGCGAAACGATTGGTCATTTCAAAAATAAATTAAAAAGTTTAAGTTTTATAAGCTAAAATGGTTGCCTTGCTCTGTTCTGTGATGCACATTCGTGACTCTCCTGTTTGAACTCGTTCATCAAAACAAACAAATCTTCTTTTCGAGTCATGACTCGAAGGGTCCTAGATAAGGGTCCACCATTCATCGTCTGGTGTCGTTTAAAGCCCTTTGAAGCCGCACTGAAACTGTATTTTGGACCTTGAACCATTTGGTTCCCATTGAAGTCCATTATATGGAGAAAAATCCTGGAATGTTTTCATCAAACTCCTTAATTTCTTTTCGACTGAAGATAGAAAGACATGGATATCTTGGATGACATGGGGGTGAGTAAATTATCAGCAAAAGTTTTTTTTTTAAAAGTGAACTACTCCTTTAAAAACAATCTTCATAAAAACTCATTTTTAAAAAAATATCACATTTACCTGTGCTCTTTAATATATCAGGGCTCATTTTTTTTCTTTCTTTCTCTGTCACGTGTCTGTATAATAGTAAAGCCAGGAGTGTGTCCAAAGACAGACAGTAAAATAAGGTGTATCAGGAAGGATTACGAGTTGTGTGCCGATGACAGCGAGTGTCCCAAAAATCAGAAATGCTGCAGAACTGCATGCGGTGGAACTCGGTGTACGGCTCCAGTTGCAGGTATTATATTGTATTGTATTATGAAACAATTGTGGGCCAGTTGAACGCATTTTCAGGGAAACACACGGCTAAAGTAGTTCCAGGCAGGTCTTGACCACATAACATGTCCATAACACTTCGCCAAATCATTTCAGTTATTTCAAACGTCCTTACAGCAACAACATAGCCTGGATGCCAGCCGAACTCCGCCCACAACATTTTTTTGGTCGGGAAGTTCGGTCTGGACTCGATCCATTGAGGAGAAATTATGATCAGTCAAAAAATGAATGGGCCAATCAAATTGCCAGGGCGGGCTGTAAACGATGATGGACAGATGATCTGCAAGGACGTAATCATCATGTTATCGAAGAGCGCTTAACTGGTTTCCCTCAGAGATGACTGCAGCTGGAGAATTGAGATGTATTGATTCCGCTATCGCGTCTGTTGTGAAATAAATCGACAGCGCATTCATTTTAATAGACGAACAGAATAGAACTGCAATCAAGGCATTAGTCAATCGGAAAGATATTTTTGCCGTCCTTCCTACATGATTCGGCAAAAGTGTAACTTATCAGCTGGCTCTGACGGTTGCTAAGAAGATGGGACGTAATGAAAAGCATGTGGTCGTTGTGGGTTCTCCTTTGGTCGCACTCATGGAGGATCAAGTAAAAGAAGCAACACTCGTTCGTTATTTTACTTCTAAAATAAGTAAGTTAGTTGAAAACTGCGCTGTGCAAAGTAGTTGACTTACTGCGTTGCTCTGACTGGTTGTAGGTCTACCGACTGTCCAATTGAGTGCAGAGTTTGTTTTTTTCCTGGATCGGTTAAGACACGCCTCATAATCAAAGCCCTATGGAGCAGCATCAGACTCATATTCTCACTAGAATATGAGTATGACAAAGTCAGGCTAGCAACAACAGCAAAAGAACCAAAAACTCCAGTGGAAAAGACATTCAGTGATATGGCTTCTCTGTCATGTGTTTGTATAACAGTAAACCCAGGAGTGTGTCCAAGAAGAACATATGAAGCAGCAGAGTGTGCTTGGATACGTTTCGAGCCGTGTGTCGATGACAGTGACTGTGCCATCAATCTGAAATGCTGCAACAATGGATGTGGACTTCAGTGTATAGCTCCAGTTTATTATGGTATATTACATTACATTATATTATATTAGCTATACTATATTACATTACATTACATTACATTACAACATTGCATTAGATAACACTTTGAGGCTGTAGAATGCTTGAATCTAATTGATCCAAACGTCTCCAAATGATGTCAGTTATTTTAAAAGTCCTTAAACAGCAACAACAGCAAAATAACCAAAACCCACCACGACACTGACCAAGCAAATAAATATTGTAAACGAAATCCACAGTAGTCAATTGTCAAGTTTGCGTCCTTAGTTATCTAGTTACCAATGATCGCGCACGTGAACTCGACAATTTACTACTGTGTACTTCGACCGAAAACAGGAAGAAAATGGACTTGGACAAAAACTACGATAAAACCTGTTGGAAAGCATCTTTTACAGCGATTTTTGTGTGAGCATATCAGTGAACACCCCAGACCACTCGGTGAGTTTCACGTCTTTGTAAACTAAAGTTTTATGCGTTTTAATGAATGATTGTTCGAGTGCACCTATGCTTTCATTATAAAGGTGGGGGGGGGGGGGGTGCTAACACAGAATCCAAAAATTCTCGTGACCGGAGCATCTGTCTAAAAAACAATCTTAACTATTCTATTTCATCAGGGACGATCTTAAAACAGGGCTTTAATTGTAAAATACCGAACTTGTCCTTTAAAGACACCGTTAATATAGTCCAAATGACTACAGTGGCTCAATCTTAAATGTATCAATCGACGAGAATACTTTTTGAGTGCAAAAATTAAAATAAAATAACGACTTTATTCCACTATTCATTTCCTTCTCTCTGGGCCTTGAGTTTTTTCATGTAGTGTAATAGCGCAGCGTGTCTGTCCTGCACATCACCACGTTAACTCACTATTGGCCGACACTGGTCATGTGACGTGTACAACACACATGTGCTACGCAGTTATACTACGTAAAAAGACTCTGTAGAGAAGCCCACAGAGAAGGAAATGAATAGTGGAATAAAGTCATTATGTTTGCGCACAAAAAGTATTCTCGCCGCTTTATAAACTTAAAATTGAGCCACTGCAGTCACTGCATGACTACTTTGATGATGTCTGTATTACCTTTTCTGGACAAGGACAGTATATCATACATAAATTTTATTTGAAGAAAATGGGATATCAAACAGTTGACTGTAGCCATTAGAAATCTACTATGGAAGTCAATGGCTATCGTCATTTGATTACCAACATTCTTTTAAAATATCTTTGTTTGTGTTCATCAGAAGAAATAAACTCACAACGGTTTGGAACAACTTGAGTGTAAACAATGTTTACACAATGTAAACAATGACAATTTTTATTTTTGGGTGAACTATCCTTTTTAGGGTGCTATAAACTGGAGTGCAGTTTTCTGTGAAATAAATTTGACTCTGTTTAACCTTTCACACGCAACTTTAAAATATTCTAGCTGACCACCCAGTGTGCGACTTTCATTTTAAAATATATCTCCTTATTATTTCCATGGCGACGTTTCGTGATTGTGAAAATGAAAATGATGTCATTAATGACTCACCCTCATGTCGTCCCGAGCCCGTCAGAACTCTGTTCATCTTCAAAACACAGTTTATCATCTTCTTTATTGTCAAAGTAGAGAATGAGGCTGCGGATAACTGATTCCCATCTCAAGGCTTTGTGTCTGTGAACAGATTTATATTGTACCATTACACACCCTTTTATTCATACACAATGAACTCAATGAAATCAAGTGAGAACACAAAAGCATTCATGCGCAAGGAACACTGATTTGAGTACTTAGAGCAAAGTGACTCTACTTCCTGTTCCTGTCTGCCTTGCATTTTGGCCAAAGCAGAACTGTCGCTGAAACTCTATCATCTTCAGTACAGATTCTTAATATTTGAAATTTAAGTTGTAATTTATGACTAAAATTCTAATTACTGAAATTTCAGAACTTTTGACTTTTGTCTGTTTAATACAGTAAAGCTACTTTAATGCAATCTATATTGTATTAAAAGCTATACAATAAATGTACATGCATGTATGAGAAATACATTAAGTATATCTTATTTCAAAAAATGTGAACAAGCACACTTTTGATCAAACACACCTGACTCAGTTTGTCCAGAAATGGCCTCAGTTTGGTCCCCACAACACCTCCCATGGCCTTCATCAGGGCAATAAGTCTTGATGTGCATTGAACATGAATCTCTGCCCCATGATCGATTCTCCTGAATTCCTCCTTGATCTAATGTGACAAAATGATTCAAGAGTACAACAGCAGAAATTTGGTTAAATAGACTGATGCAGGGAGCAAGGGTTAATTATGTACAAGGACTGTAGATATCAACAGTGGAGTGAACAATCCAGCACTTTCTTTTGTAATGTGCAAATCCAAAAGAGAAACACTAATTTGGCATTTCACTTTTAACTTTGAGTTTAGTACATTTCAAGTTTATTTATTTTTTCATGTGCTAAATCAGTTATTGTTGTCAATATTAATATTGCCCATGATTGCCACTCACGGTCTCTATTCTCTACAATCAACTTTTAGAAACAGGATGCTTTTAGAAACGCAGCCCTGCTTACTTTAAGACCTCATTTATGCACGATTTAGTGCGATTGAAAAAAAAATAGCTTTATGTGTAAACGTTCCATCCTGAGCAATATTCAGCAAGACCATTCAAACTTTTCCATAGTCAACAGTATAATGTTAACGTTACTTCAGCAGGAGAGCGGGACATTAAATTGTTCATTTTAAGGCCCAATTTTAGCTAGCTAGCAGTTAAAACGGTAAAGATTGTCTACTAATTTCTACTTAGTTTGACATTTTTACACGAAAAACAGTGCTTTGTGAATCTATAAAACTATTGAAAACTTCCGATTCAATATAAATAATGTAACGTTAGGAAGTGAAAAGGGGTTAACGATACAGTTTACTGTTATGGATAACCCACACGCGTTGCACTAATATGAGGCCATGTTGTAAGGTGAGCATTAATGTTTATTGAGTCAAATAAACAAGAATCATCAATCAAAACCCACACAGACCCATGTTTTATTAAATGTAAAACAGAAAGACAAACTTACCTCAAACACGACAGAAAGCAGCCACGCAGCAGCCCGCCAATTTGTCTCAGATCCAAAGTGCGCAGTTAGACTGTCTTGTCCAAACGCGCATGTGCGGATTCAAACGCGCTATGCTTTTCTATTAAAATTTACTTAAAATTACTATGTTTATGTGAAGGGACTATAAAACGTTTAAATATTACAAGCAAATATATAATAAGATTTATTCTTTCCAACCAGTTAATTTATTACATGAATTAAACGCGTAGATATTTAACATTTTACTTAGAAAATTCTAGTTCACATTGAATTTTAATTTTATTAAGTAAAAATTATGATGATTCATTTAATATATATTACTACACCAAAAAGTTCGTTTATACAGTGCACCATAAACCCACCAATTCAATTCAATTCAGTTCAATTTAATTTCTTCTGAAGAGATCTCTTTATATATTTGATTAAGGTTTATTTATTTATTTATATATATATATATATATATATATATATATATATATATATATATATATATATATATACGTTTATAAATATATATATATATATATATATACTGTATATATATATAAAGATATTTTATTAAAAACTGCATTTATTTTCTTGCCATCTTCTCACATTTACCACAGAAGCATCTGTATGACAAGTAATGCAAACATGACGCAAAAGATCCCTCGCATAAATGTAATTTCGCTTGTACATAGCAAACTTTATCACAGTATGCGTTTGTAGTTTAAAAAAATGCGCCAACGTTAGCATTAGTGTGTGTCTCTGTGTGTGTTTTGCACATCCATAATTGCAAACAGGACGCGATTACAACTCTATACACATAAATGTATCAAATAACCATACCGAGACGTCCTGGTCCATTTTCATTTGTGTTTATTCTGCTGGAGTGTCTACGTCATCTGGGTCTGATCAGAGACTATTTATATATTCCGATGCAAACATGTACGGCTGAATGACATTCAAAACAGCAGGTCTCTCTCTCTCAGCCCTTCTGCTTAGACCGACTGCCATAGGTACCAAGTTACGCCCTCATCCAAAGGCAGGGCGGGAATGTGCAACTCATTTACATTTAAGGTCGTACACACCAAAACAGCTCTTTTTAAAACAGGCCCCAAAAATGACATTTTAAAGTGGTTAGAATAAATTAACTGTGGGGTATTTTGTGCTGAAACTTCACAAATACATTCTGGGGACACCCGAGACCAATATTGCATCTTGTAAAAAGGGACATAATAGGTGTCCTTTAACTACTGCGCTCTTTTACCGGTAGGTGTGGCCTCCTGGGGCAGTGATTCTGGGAGTTGTTGTCTTCCATCCACATAAGCCAAAACATTTTCTGTCTTTTCTCAGTCTAGAAAGCTCCAAATTCAAAAATAATTTCACATTTCTTTTACATAAATGACCCATTTTAAATACACATTTATCTTTCCAGAAGTGAAGTATCCCTGTACTGCTCTTATGAGGATACTCAACAAAACAGACATTTTGGTATAATTGGGTGTCACTATTAGTTCAAGCGCGAGAGAGAAGTCGATTCTGGTGTGCGTCGTTCTGTGCACCCCACAGGCAGGACAATCACAGGCAGTCTGTTCTCTTTTGTCTTTTTGTTCATGAAAAAGAACATGATCATATAATGTAACGCTAGTCAAAGCATGACAGAAAAAATGGATGCTGTGTTAATAATATATTAAACAGAAAAACATTAATCGCATGTGTTTATGTGAATATGCGGAAAGACGTTGTGACAATATTTCCACGTGATTTGACCAAAAGCGCAAGAAGCCATGAAAAATAGTTGTGCACTGGGAATGAAATCATGCGCAACCCCCGCAACTCAACGCCGAAAGAAAGCAAAAGAACCAAAACCCACGACAACTCTGACCAAGCAAATAAATAGTAAACAACTGTATAAAAACAACAAATTATTCCCTTATTGTAAAATATGATAAGTGGAATAATTGACTCTGGTACATAGCATTTTGAGAAAATAATGCATGTTGTAAAATGTATTAAAATAATATTTACAACTTACAAATATATTTTTTACATTGAGGAAAAAAAAAAAAACATTCATCATTCAGTAAAATGTATTCTCTGTCATGTGTCTGGATAACAGAAAACACAGAAGTGTCTCCAATCACAAATAATGACCCAGCAAAGTGTTCCATGAAGGGTTTCGTGTCGTGTACCGATGACAGCGAGTGTCCCAAAAATCAGAAATGCTGCAGCACTTCATGCGGTGGAAGTCTGTGTATGGTTCCAGTTACAGGTATTATATTGTATTTAATTATATTATAGTTATAGAGGTCTGTTGAATACTTTAATCTGATTGGTTGACACATTTTCTAAGGTATGCAATTATTTTCTGGAAAACACGGCTAAAGTAGTTCCAGGCAGGTCTTGACTGCAGTACATGTCCATAACACTTTGACAAATTATTTCAGTTATTTCAAAGGTCCTTACAGCAACAACAGCAAAAGAACCAAAAACTCCAGTGGAAAAGACATTCAGTGATATGGCTTCTCTGTCATGTGTTTGTATAACAGTAAACCCAGGAGTGTGTCCAAGAAGAACATATGAAGCAGCAGAGTGTGCTTGGATACGTTTCGAGCCGTGTGTTGATGACAGTGACTGTGCCATCAATCTGAAATGCTGCAACAATGGATGTGGACTTCAGTGTATAGCTCCAGTTTATTACGGTATATTACATTACATTATATTATATTAGCTATACTATATTACATTGCATTACATTACATATTAGCTATACTACAGGTCTGTTTAATACTTAAATCTGATTGGTTGATATATTTCTTAAGGTAGATAATTATTTTTAAACAGACAGCTAAAGTATTTCCAGGCAGGTCTTGACTGCAGTACATGTCCATAACACTTGGCCAAATGATTTCAGTTATTTCAAAGGTCCTTACAGCAACAACAGCAAAAGAACCAAAAAACCCTGTGAAAAAAATCATTCAGCATTCAGTCATATGATTTCTCTGTAACGTGTCTGTATAACAGAAAACCCAGTCAAATCAGAACAAATAAAGCAATGTGTGCCTGGATATGTTTCGTATCGTGTGCCGATGACAGGGACTGCCAGCAATGAGAAATGATGTAGGAATTGATGTGGACTTCTAAAAGCAACTTGCACCAAAGCGCTGTACAATAAAACATTGAGCATATCAAAAGAAACCATGCAGTATACAGTAGAGTTCTCATCTAATGAGCTGATGATCTGATAACGTGTGGTAAATAAGGGAGACAGACATACAAAATGTGCAGAGCAGTGGATCCTCAGGACAGGTGTGAGAAGCACTGGTCTAGAAGACTGTAGCGCAGAATGTGTACTGCTTTTATGGTGCCTTTCTAGTGGTTATAGTATTTCTTTTCAGGAGCTTGACTTTATGACATTCCTGTCATTTTATTGAATAGAGCTCCGATTGTGGAAAAAAATCTTAAAATAATGACAAATGCAGTAAAAATAGTAATATTGCGAAATATTGTTAAAATGATTGTTAAAATTTGAACATTTTTGCAGTGTTGTAGTCGAGACCACCTCACTCGAGTCCGAGTCAAGACCGAGTCCAGAGAGTCGAGTCCGAGTCGAGTCCGAGACCAGAGACGGTCGAGTCCGAGTCGAGACCGAGACCAGTGAGGGTTGATTACCTAATTTACTTTTATTTACTTAGAGAAATCCTTTTTTTTTTTTTTTTTTTACTGAATTTACTTAGAGTTTAAAAAATATGATCAGTTTAGGGTAAAAAGGCCACATAGTAGGTGTTGTCAAATCACCAATCACTGGGCGTGTCAATCAATTTAAAGAAATATTTTATTAACATACATTAATAATCATGAAAAATATTTTGAATTGAACTCGAGTGGACTCGGGAATAAGTCCGAGTCCTAAAAAAAAAAATGTTCGAGTACGAGTCAATTCCGAGTCCAAATGCACACGAGTCCATGACAAGACCAAGACCATTAAAATATGGTCTCGAGACCGAGTCCGAGACGAGTCCGAGTCTCGAGTACTACAACACTGCATTTTTGCAAAATGTATTCCTGTGATCAAAGCTGATTTTTCAGCATCATCACTCCAGTCTTCAGTGTCACATTATCCTTCAGAAATATTTATAAAATGCTGATTTTAATGCTCAAGATACATGTCTTATTATTATCAATGTTGAAAACATTGATACACAGTTTCCACAAAAATATGAATACACAAATACATTTTTCAGCATTCCAAATAAAAATAAAATAAATATTATTAATAATTGAGCACAAATAATAACTAATACTAATTGAGCAGCATTTCAGAATGATTACTGAAGGATCATTTGACACTAAATGATGCTAAAACTCACCCTGAGTTCCGTCGGATCACGACGAATGGGGGTTTTGCTTAGAAAGCCTTTTAGCTTTGATCAATATAAATGGCAATGGCAAAGAAATGCCATGGGTCTGCGGGGCCTCACCTTGTGAGTGTATAAGGAGGACGCAAAACAGACATGTTTTCGTTCTGGGGCCAAGAGTATCTCTTTACTCCACACCCATTTCTGACTTCACTCAATGAGACGAGCCTCTCTCTCCAGTGTCGGTGTGACGGCGATCTGCAGCGAGTTCACATTGCCTGCTGGTCTGTGTAGTTGTCTGCCAGTGAATGTGTTTCTCCCTGCTCGCTTCAACATTGCAGAGTTTTTTCTCCTCTCACAAAAGAGCTTGCACGCGGCACGTCTTTTTAAAGACGGCTCGCCCGTGCATTTCTGGTCGCAGTCGACTCATCTCCGATTTTGATGAACACATTCTCTGCTCTGCGTGCTTGGGCTTGATCACGCTAGAGCAGCGTTTGTGGATGACTCGCGTTCTCCCCGTGGGAACGTGACCATCGCGTCATTACGGTCGAGACTCGATGATCTTGTGAGAGAGAGAGAGTCCCCTCATCTACACCCCGATCTAACACTCTCCACATGAGGTGCTACTTTGAGGTGACCTGAGGGTGGGAGTGTGGAAAAAAACCGCCCACTTTTGATTGGTTTTTGGGTGTGGCCGCCGACTCCTATCGGCGTCCACTCCAATACCCTTTTCCCGGATGTGAATCAGGAGATCTCGATATCCTCGAAGACCCATGTCTTCCAGCGATCCCTCGTTGATCTCCTCCTCCCTTCCTTCCCTCGACGGGGTACACTGCGGCCCCTGCGGTTGAATGTTCTGTTGCGATGCTACTGTGTCCTTAGAGTGCTTCTTCTTGGCGTGATCCTAATCACCCAGGTCGGCCTCTTCGGCGGTGCGGTTGAGTGCTTTGCCCAACGGTTCTCATACGGCCACGAGCAGACTGAAGCTTAATCTGCCCCGACAGCCCCACCGTCCGCTCAGATCCCTCAGTCTGCCCACCGCCAAAGGCGCCCTCCTTACCCTGCCACAGCCCTTTCTTACCCTGCTGGCGAAGGGTGCAATCGAGACTGTCCCTCCAGCCGAAATGAGGTCCAGCTTCTACAGCCCGTACTTCATTGTCCCGAAGAAAACTGGTGGGTTATGGCCAGTCCTGGACCTGCGCGTGCTGAACCGCTCCCTCAACAGGCTTCCGTTCAGGATGCTCACTGCCAAACGCATTTTCGAATAGATCTGTTTACCTCTCACGACTCGACCCATTGCACCCTGTGTTATTCCCTGACCGAGGGCACACTCGGCACTGATGCATTGGCGCACAGCCACCTCCTTGACTGCTTGAATCTGATCGAAACGATTTAAGGTGTGCAATTATTTTCAAAGAATTATTTTCATATGATTTCAATTATTTGAAAGGTCCTTACAGCCTACATCAGCAAAAGAACCAAAACCCACGACGACACTGACCAAGCAAATAAATATAGTAAACAATAGGATAAAAACAACAAATTATTTCCATGTTTTCTAAACATAATGATACACGCAATAGCTAATTGACTCCGGTCCGGTCCGTTGAATTAGAAGAAAATAATGTACATTCGTGACCGCATTACCATCTCGGGTGTGCATTATTTTCTAATAATTTGACGGGTCATCATCAATTATTCCTTACTTAATAAATGCTTTAGAGGTATTTTCATTGTCAGTTCCAACGCATTCTCATCCTTAAATGTCATATAGAACGCTATATGCAAAAACGGCGCTATACTACTGTGACGATCTGCGGCTGGAGTGCCCGCTTGAGCCTCTGGGGGGCACTCCTTCCTAGTTTATTGTTTCATTCATGTTTTACCCTGCACTGATTATGGTTTATTTCATGCACCTGTGTTTTATTATCTTGTTTAGTGCACCTGTCTTAAGCCCGAGTTTCCCCTTTGTTCGGGGCTCAGTATTGTGTATAGTGTCTGACTGCTTAGAGTGTTTTCCTAGTATTTCCTAGCTAGTTTCCTTAGTATTTCCTAGTTTCACGGTTCCTGGACTCTGCCTGTATCTGGTCTTCCCGTTTGCCTAATCCCTGCATTGTTTGACTGCTGATCTGGACTGCTTACCTGGTTTTGACCCCTGCCTGTTTCCTTGTACCTGTCTCTGGATTCTCCTCTTTAATAAAGCCTGCGTTTGGATCACCTCTGTCCATGTTCCATGTGCAGTTTCATGACAACTACGCACATGGCACCCGTTATCGTTAATATAACGCGCTGTGAGGGCTAAGTTTAGGTGTGGGGTAGGGTGTGCGTGTCATATTCACGCTAAAGGATTTATGACGTCTTGGGTTCGCGTGTTATATTAACGATAAAGGGTGCCATGCGCGTAGTATAGCGCCGTTTTTGCATATAGCGTTCTATATGACGTTAAAGGATGAGAACGGGCTGTCAGTTCATGTTAACTAATAGAGTAAACAAATGTTAACAAATATATTGTAAAGTGTTATTACACTATTTATTTTATATCAATGTTTGGGTCAATAATAATAATAATAATAATTATTATTATTATTATTTTATGTTATATTCTCTGACAAAAGTACCTGAATTCTGCCTATAGCACTGTTTCAGGCACAGGATGGCTTTACAAAATTAATAAAGATGAATAATACATAGAATGCAATTAACTCTGTAAATCATTAGCTTTTCATGCCTTGAGTGTTTTGTGCTGAACATCTGATGCTTAATGTCACTAAATGGCCAGACTAAATCTGAATCTCTATCCATACAGGTTTGCCGTAAGGGAATCCAGTGTGTGCTGAATATTGTTCCCATGATGGTCAGTTCCCTGCCGGACAGAAATAATGCTCAACCACCTGTGATCATGCATGCAGTGAAACTCTGCCAGTTTAACCACCGGAAACAGTTGTGGGAATTATTTAGCTTAATACATATTTTCTTTTACTTGAATCAATTCATTGCTTTATTTCTTTTTCTTATCTCTTATGTGCTGAATATTTGAATGATTTTGAGAAAAAAAAAAAAATCTACCAACATTTTAGCCCAAATTAGTGTGTTGGACTTACCATGTGGACTTGGTTAGATGACCAAGGAACGAGCTGGAGTAATAAAAAAAAACCGAGTTTGCTTTTCTGGGGGTGTTTCTGGGTTGCAAGTATGTACATCTTATCATATTAGATAAAGATAATGTAATGAGTCATGTTACCTTTGCCATGTACCTATCCTATATAAATTGTTCTTTTTGCCGGTGGGATTCTCTGTGATTGATATGAGGTCCTCCTGGCCGTGAATAAAGCATATTCAAAGTCATAATTTGGACTCTTTCTGATCACTGCTGTCTAAGGCTAGACACTATAGATGTACTTCTATTATAAGTGATAGTGTTTAGTGGAAAACAACAGATCTTATTTTCATTCCCAAGTGATGGTGCTGAAGTGGTAACACAGTCTCATCCCAAAAAGTCATATAACTGACGTCTTGGGACGTTTTTTGACCATACGTCAATATCCGCCTTTTTAGGGCCCCCTTAAACGTCGGTAGATGGCGATCCCGGGCCGTCATACAACTGACGCTTTACCTTTAACGTCAGTTAGGTGACGGGTTAGGTTTAGGGTTAAGTTTAGGTCTGGGGTAGAGTTAGGATCCCATAACCTCATCTACCGACGTTTAAGGGGGCCCTAAAAAGGTGAATATTGACGTATGGTCAAAAGACGTCCCAAAACGTCAGTTATATGACGTCTTGGGATGAGACCGGGTTGGAAGTGGAGCACTAGAGACCCGTGGAACAAGTGGGGAGACGTCTAGTAGAGTACAAATGGTAACACTTTAGAATACGGTTCCTTCGTTAATGAATAACTACACAAGAACTAATGAGTAACAAAATATTAACAATCTAGTAACTATTATTAACTAACAAGAAACTCCGATTAACGAACTAGTAAGTAATAGCGCACAGACGAAAGTGGTAGTTCACTATTAAGTAATCAATAACTACTATTTTTTTAATACTTCCCAGAGAACTACTGAAAAAGTTTATTAATAATCTAGTAACTACTAGTAACTACTATTAACTAAAAGAAACTCTTATTAACGAATTAGTAAGTAATAGCTCACAGATGAAAGTGTTACTAGATACTTCTGTGGGAATTACTAATTATTTGGATTCGTATTATAAAGTGAAGATCATTGGAACTAACTAGTAATTACTCAAGTGTTACTAAAGACATTTTCTAAAAGTATACTAAAGTTCACCAAAAATCTCAAACGTTTGCACAAATCATGACTAAATCATATAGTAACACTTGAGTAATTACTAGTTAGTTCCAATGATCTTCACTTTATAATACGGATCCAAATAATTAGTAAGTAATAGCTCACAGATGAAAGTGTTACTAGATACTTCTGTGGGAATTACTAATTATTTGGATCCGTATTATAAAGTGAAGATCATTGGAACTAACTAGTAATTACTCAAGTGTTACTACATGATCTAGTCATGATTTGTGCAACCGTTTGAGATTTTTGGTGAACTTTAGTATACTTTTAGAAAATGTCTTTAGTAATAAATGAGTAATTACTAGTTAGTTCCAATGATCTTCACTTTATAATACAAATCCAAATAATTAGTAATTCCCACAGAAGTATCTAGTAACACTTTCATCAGTGAGCTATTACTTACTAATTCGTTAATAAGAATTTCTTTTAGTTAATAGTAGTTACTAGATTGTTAATAAACTTTTTCAGTAGTTCTCTGGGAAGTATTAAAAAAATAGTAGTTATTGATTACTTAATAGTGAACTACCACTTTCGTCTGTGCGCTATTACTTACTAGTTCGTTAATCAGAGTTTCTTGTTAGTTAACATTAGTTACTAGATTGTTAATATTGTGTTACTCATTACTTCTTGTGTAGTTATTCATTAACGAAGGAACCGTATTCTAAAGTGTTACCGTACAAATTTGTCGGTGTCTAGAAGGAGACCCATATATGTGTGTGTGTGTGTGTTCTATGACGGCTTTTTGATGGTAAGAGAGATTATGCATTTTTGAGGTTTTTGCTAACCCCCAATCCTGACCCTCAGACAGCCACGAAACCATCTTCACGTGGCCCTCAGTAAAACCAGGGTCAGGACCGAGATGACCTTTGGCATCCTAAAGGCACGTTTCAACTGCCTAAGGCGCTCAAGAGTGTCACCAGAGCGGGCATCACTATTAGTGGATGCAAGTGCCATTCTGCAAAATAAAGCCATTATCAGAAAGGAGTGAGTACCACCACAAAACCAGCTTAGTAGACCCCATCACACTTGACCACCCAGCTGGCGCAGCTGTCAGAAATTACATTAATAAACATTCATAGTGTTCATACTGAAGGTCACTTGGTTAAAAGTCCAGCGTTTTGATCTCTAAATATTTTTTTTTTTATTTTGAGCCTCCTCAGCTCACAGTCCAGCTCCTTCAGTGAACAGTCTAGTTTGAGACTCTGGCTGAATCTGTTTCCACCACAAACAATCATAAACGTTTTCTGGAGGTTGATCAAATCACAAAAAGTGGCATACTTTCTACAAACATAGAACTGACTGTAATGCAGTGAGAAAAATATGTTTTCCCACTTAGAAATCATGGAGGGGTCTGGAATTGTCATCGTAGGTGCATTGCCACTGTGCATAATGTAAAAGAAAAAATCCAGAAATCACAATATATGATTTTTTTACGAAGTTCCTAAATGTAAGTTAGGCAGGAGCGAGCCCATCCAATCTTTCAATCAACAACCAGAGTATATAAGCAGCCGCTTACGTCTCCCTAGTATCAGCCGTATACCAATCCCCCTCGTCCAGACAACCTTTAACCATAGACATTCTCATCATCTGCCTAACCACTCTCCGCTCAGGTCAGGTTTTTCTTCGAACAAAGCAAGAACCCTAGATGCCATGTTCAATTTGGCTTTTTTTTTTGGTTTCCTCAGAGTCTCAGAATTTATTATCAACTCAAACTCCAACCCATCCATCCATCCCCCGTTCTCCGACCTCCAAATAATAAACTGCGACACCATACGTTTCAAAATCAAACAAAGCAAAACCGATCAATTGAAACATGGCCATTCATCTTCAATTTGCCAACCCCTATCCAAACATACCAGTCCTTAAACTTTTTTCTCCACCAAAGGAAATCCCAAATCACCTCTTCTCTCGATCCTCTCTTCATCGATGATGACAACCTCCCGGCCTCCAGACATTGGTTTCAAAGAAACCTCAAATCCACCCTCAACAGCTCTGGCATCCCAACTGAACAGTTTTCTTCACATTCCTTCCGAATCGGTGCAGCCACCACAGCAGCACAAAGGGGCCTTCCCGATCACCAAATAAAAATGCTAGGCCGATGGTCGTCCCAGGCTTTCGAAACATACATAACATTAGACAAGCACAACAAGCACCTTCTTCTGAGTCCGGCGTGTTTCCATCTGGATGCAATGGGAGCTCCCCCTTTTCAGAGGTGTGTGGCAACTCCCTATTTATACATATGGGGGAGGGGGGGGCTCTCTCTTTCAAAATGCAGTCGAATCGCAGTATGAGCTTTCCGTTCGGGCGCCGCGGGGGCCCTCCCTTTCTGAATCGCTGTGTGATCTTTCATGATTTTAACCATGGAGGCTCTTCCGTTCGGATCGCAGTATGGGCCCTCATCCGAAAAGAGGACTGGAGGTACCAAGGATCGTACGTCCCTCGAACACGACGGGCCATTGTGTCTTTATGTTTATATTATTGAATTTTGGCGCGCATATGCAATGACGTAACTGTAGTTCACACCACCGCCGACTTGAGCTTCCAAAGCGGCCGGAAGTCATTCGTTTTCAATGGAAGCTGGCTTTTCTCAGCTGCAAGGAGCGTCAAATCCATCAGTGTCGCGTTTTGGGCATTTTGAGCGTCAATTAAAAAGTTGAAGGAAGCTAAACTTTATGGTAATGAGCTGTGAAGCGGTTCAGCGGCAAGTATGGTGGCAAGCAGTGGCAAAACTCCAGCAACCAATCAGAATCTAGACGTCCTTCGCGCTGGCTGATTCCGGAGAAACATACAATATAATTTTGTGTTCCTACCAAAACATTAGTTCCGAGAAAATGGATTTCTACAGGTTTCCTATCATTTATGACATAACTTTGTTTGCTTATGGGGACTGCATGAACGCAACTTTTATTTGAAATATTTACAAGTACTTATATTTACTTAATAATATAATTATATTGACTTTTCTAAATTATTATGAAGGAACGTTTTATTTTATTTTTTCATCAGTTATATCAGTTTTTGGTCATGCTTTGTTGGAGACATATTAACTGTGTATTATTCTGTCTACATCTGCATATGTAGTGCATGTACTAATGTATATATTTTCTTACATATAGAAATTGATTATATTGTTATATGGTTATTGATTATATGAAAAAAAATTTAAGTTTGCGTATATGATTTGTTTAGTATTTGTTTTATTTTTATGAGCCAGTTCTAAGGTAAAAAAAAATGGTGCTAATTCTAAAATGGGATAGAAATTGAAAAGAAATGTGGATTGTGTAGACTTGTTTTGTTTAAAAGTTCAAGATGTTCAAATAAGGAAAAGGAATAAATTAATAAGGAAACCATAAGCATGCAAAATGTACGTATGTATGTTGTTTAAATATATTGGCATATATAAATTAAACATATCAGTGGAATATATGGTTATAACATACAATATTATATAAAGAATAATCATATACATTCATTATATTAATATATGTCAATACACTCATTTAATATGGACAATTTCATATATTTAGCATATATGACAGCGTCACTTGCGATATAGGGACATATATGTCATATATTACATTTCCGTGTGGGCAATAATTCTATTTGACTCTTTGTTCTAATTAAACTCGTTCATTTGGATTCTTGTAAATTTTTAAGTCTCGCACTGGCCGAGTACACAATCTCACAGTCACAAACTCATCAGTCTTGGTCAATTAGTCAGAAACAGTTGACTAATAATAACTTTAGGTGCTGCTCCATACTCCATACCCCATACATGTCCCTATTAGATCTATACACACTTAATTAAGGTAGACCAGTTCCGGAAGTCATGACCCTTACCAATAAGCAGCCCAACTTAACTTCCTTCAATGGTATCTCATATAATCATGCCATGGTTTCCCATGTACACTTAGTTAGAATAATACTGCAAAATGAGGCTCACCCTATAGATTGTTCTAGCAACACTCTGTTGCTCTACGTGAAAATTCCATTATTAGTCTCTCCAGTCTAAGTACACATGACTAATGCCAATTCTTCAGGCGGATCTCTAAAATTTCAATTGGCGAGCCCCAATGCTCCACCTAAACTGAATTTCAGTCCATTACTAACTATGTGCACTGTTCAGGCATGTCATTTGCATGCTGAATCACCTCACTCACAGCTCTCAGGTGAAGCCAAAGTGCAAAATCTGTGGATTTGGATTTGATCTAAATGATCAAATAATACACTCCAAACCGTGCTTCCTGATCTAGTCACATAGATATACAGTGTGTGTCAGACACTTTAGGCATTTTTAAATGTGTTTATATTTAAATAATATGGATGAAGGATTTTTAGAGAAATGCAGAAGTTAACACATGTAAAAACTTAAAATGCCAACCATTTCCGTTCATTTGGGAAAAACCCTCAGGATGATTTTGTGAATTGTAATGGAATTGTATGACTCTAAAATGCAAGGGTTATCAGGATGTTTTAGTCATAGTTGATAAGCTCCTAAAGTGGGTCGAAGTTTTTACCACCAAGAAAGGCAGTGCTGTCTTTATGGNGGGCCCCTATGGAGGAAACCGATCGAGCGGGGGGACGGGACTCTCACTCAAGTGAGATCATTGAGTCTCGACCTCAGTGTAGAGATGGTCATGTTCCACAGAAGGAAAATGAGTCATCCACGAACGCTGCTGCTGCATGCTGAAATGCCCAGGCATACAAAGCAGCGATCGTGACCATCAGATGACGACAGAAATCAATCACACCCAGAAGAGCACGGGCGACCGTCTTTAAAAAGACGTGCGCGTGCAGCTCTTTCAATGAGAGGAGGAAATCACTCTTTCAGCGCTGAAGCGACCAGGGGAGAAGCGCAAAGTCTGGCAGACCACTGCTCCAGATCGCAGGCGATGCAGAATCCGCTGGGTACCGCCTCACAACCAACACTGAAGAGGACGCTCGTCTCGAAGAGTCTTGACAGTGCTTTCAGGAGTGAAGAGGTTCTCTTGGCTCCGAAGCGAAAACATACTGCGGTTGCGTTCACTTCCTCCTTTATACTCACGGAGTAGGGCGGAGTACGCTATGCAAATTTCCGCAGCCCAAGGCATTGCATGCCATTGGCTCGTGTTTTAATACTCGAAGAGGATTGGCTTTCTATGCGAAACCCCCAATCTCCCAATCTCCGTCACTTCTGACGTAACTCGAAGTGACTACGAAAGGGAACCACTAGAGCGCAATTGCAATGTGAATTGTTTAGATTGTGAACTGGTTCAAAAGATTAATCGAAAAGACTCGACTCTAACCAACGACTCGTTCACAAATCGGTTATGTTCTTCTCACAGAATGCATTACCTTTCCCCCCCGTTATGCTGCGTTTTAAACGCCACGTCTGGCTGCTTTTCAGCATTTTTTTGCGCATTATAATCACGTTTTTAAGACGCCTATAGTCAAGTTAAAAGAGGTTTAACAATCGGAAGATTTGTCAAGTACTGTGAGTGCGTTATATCTAACTTTATAATTTGATGTCTCTTCTTGTTATTACGTCATTTCTGGAGCACAAAATGAACAAATACGTATTTTGTGGTTAAATGTTTAAAGAAAAAAAGAATATTTATTTATTTATTTATTTAAATTGGGGCGGTGATAGAGCAGTGGATAAGACACATGCCTTTGGTGTGAGAGACCTGGGTTTGAATCCACTGTGAGACACCAATGTGTCCCTGAGCAAGACACTTAACCCCTAGTTGCTCCAGAGGCGTGCGACCTCTGACATATATAGCAATTGTAAGTCGCTTTGGATGAAAGCGTCAGCTAGCAAAAAGGGCTAGCAATGTTAGCCCTATGTCTCATTTGTTATCATCAAACAATTTATTTATTATACTATATGTTACATTAGGCCCATATCAGCCTTGACAAATAATTCACCTCTTTTTCAATAATTAACTTATAATTAAATAATTCAACTATATTTCTACATCTATTTCTCCCTCTGTTTGTCTATCACAGGACGGGCTATTATACAGTGTATAGGCAGGTGTATAGTATGGAGATGCAAACGGTCTACAGGTGCTGCCCAGGATGGATGCAGAGAGGGGAGGAGAGAGGCTGTCTTCATAGTGAGTATCATAACACTATATGTGCGTGTGTGTCACGATTCCTGTCTTGTGTTTTCCTTGTCTTGTGTGGACTTTAGTTATTTCCTGTTCCGTGTCATGTTTTGTAGTCCTTTTTCTTGTTAATGAGTTCCCCCAGGTGTTTCTTACCCCTGCTTACCGTATTCCGTATTAATTACAAGGTATTGCTTTGACTTATAAAGCTCTAAATGGTTTAGCTCCAGTCTATTTAACAGATCTTCTATCCCTACAATCCATCGCGCTCTTTAAGATCACTAAATTCAAGGCTTCTGGTCATATCCAGATCCACAAAAGGAGGGAGAGCATTTTCACATTTAGCACAGAAGCTCTGGAATAGCCTTCCTGATATTGTTCGTTGCTCAGACTCGCTCTCTCAGTTTAAAACTAGACAAAAGACGCATTTATTTAGCCTGGCATTCATGTAAATTTTTTATCTCACAGTTACTGTAAATTTGTCCTCTAGTTCATAAACGCCAGAGGAGAACTGGCCCCTGACTGAGCCTGGGTTCTCCCAAGGTTTTTTTTTCTCCATTGGGTGATCTGATGGAGTTTTAGGACACCGTCGGGTCACTTGATGGAGTTTTTCGGTTACTTGCCACTGTTGCCTTTGGCTTGCTCCGTTGGGGATATTCAAATTAAATGACCCATCATACCATTGATCAGCTCTACCAAACTTGATTGTCTTTTCATGAATAAACAAACACTGTTATGTTGTCTTTATTGTGTCTTTATTGATACAATCTGTATTGTGATAAGCGCTATAAATATATTTGACTTGAATTGACTTGACCCTGCAGGGGTAAGAAACACCTGGGGGAACTCATCAACAAGAAAAACTACAAAGGACTACAAAACATGACATGGAACAGGAAATAACTAAAGTCCACACAAGACAAGGAAAACACAAGACAGGAATCGTGACAGTGTGTGTGATATGGATACAGAGTATCTGAACAGTGTGTGTCATCTATAGGAGTGTGTTCTTCTGGTACCTGCTTTAACGGTGGGATGTGCTCCGAGACCGGTGATCAGCTATGTCAGTGTCCAGAAGGGTTCGAAGGAACGCGCTGCCAATACGGTGAGTCTTTCAGCGCCTGAATAGTGGCTTATTTATCTTTTGAATGTTCAAGAATTGATTCTGTGGTGTTTGTGTTTATGTATATGAGTTTGTCTTGATGCAAGAGTGTTGTATAGTCAGTAAGTCGAGGTCAATTGGTGTCTTTGAAGCTTGTTTCCCTGGCGTTTCTCCTCCCACACTCTCTTTCCACCACCTGTGAGTGCACTAAAGTGAGTTTTCTCAGGCAAACGTCACTGTGGTTTGTCAGATTCTCACTTGTTTCTGCCTCTCATGGTTTGTTTTGATAGCACATGTGAGGTTTTCACACTGTGAGGTGTCGAATGAGAGTGTATGTGTTCTGGTGGTAAACATGGTTTACCAGATCTGGTTATCTGTTTAACAGCAAAGAGTTTGACTTCAGTTGATATCAGTAAATATGCCTTTGAGCATTGAAGAAGCCTTACACACAGTAGTATGTGAATGAGATTTCGTGTTTGTGTCTGTAACAGTAAACCTCTAAGTTTAGTCATTGATTAGCTTGTGTGTGATCTGCCTAAAGCAGCTTTCCTGCTGCGGTTTTGTGATGAGATGGAGGTTTGTGCTCCTAAAATGCTTTCCCAGAGTTTCTAAAATTAAAGTTTTCTTCTGCATGTCCGTAATACAGAAGGCTGATGGCTAAACAGTATGACGGTGAAATGACTGTGATGAAAAATGTCTTTTCCATGTTGGACTGGTAAACCCATTAAGCTCATTTGACTTTGAGACTGTGTATATGTGCATGTGGAAGAATGTTTTACAGTGCTCTCTTTTAATGGACAGCCCAGGACACGCTGTAGCTCATATGCACTTTACTGTTGGACTGATTTGACTGTGTTTAAAGGTCACTGGTCACGTCTCAGTTCTGACAGAGAGAAAGCAGGGAATACTATTCATAGAATAAGAAAGTTAAAGGAGTAGTGTAGCCTCATGTTGTCCCAAACCTGTAGGACTGTCTTCCGTGGAACAAAAAATGAGATGTTCGATAGAATGTTCAAGCTGTTCTTAATAAAAGTGAATAGTGACCAGGAGCTGTCAAATGTATAATAGAAGATGTGTATTGACTATTTTAAATAGACCCCTTTTCAGTTGGTAAACATGGTGACGTTTTTTTGTGGGCGGAGCTTAGATGGAGGCAGAACAATCCTTCTGGCCGCTTCACTAACGCTAGTTAGCAAGTATTGTTAGCTTGTTTTTTTAACAATGACTGAAGAAAATCTGATTTTATCTTAATGTGTAAGGTCACTCAGTGTCCAGGACCGCGATTGTTATTTCCAAAAGTTATTTTTAACGGACGGAACCAGATTGTCCGACCCGTAGCCGCCCACACGCTCACTCAATGCATGGACGATCTGACAGGATTAACGTTACGTTACTTCGGTTGAGTGGCCTGACTTCTACACCTACCTTATAGAGAAACCGATCGTAAAGAGAAACTGAGGGCATATAAATCTTTAGATGCCTATAACTAAATGTTCCTGTACAAGACTTGTGTGTACGATCCGCAGTTCTGCTGAGCCAATGCCGAGACGACGACAATGTAAAGAGTGACATTACGGTGCGATTTTAATGATTTGAATATTTTCTAGAAAAAAAATTGAGATTCAGCATATTCATTTTTTTATCAATTCTTGCACCAAACAACACAACAAGATGACATTTAATAACAGTAACAATAATTTAAGTTCCTTATTATGTAGCCGCATCTGTGCTGGTTTGTATTGGGCGCCTCCAGTTTTCACTTTGTTTTGCCTCCAGCTAGCACCGTGACGGAACTGTGACGTCGGTGCAAAAGGGGTCTATACTTTTAGTGTGTACTTTTGGAATCAGTAGTGTTGCATGATCCGGGTTGCCATCCCTGCTCTAGTTACCACAGCTGCAGATACAAACGTGTCGGATAAAAAAATGTTGGATCCTGCAGTATATCTGGCAACCTCGAGTTCAGGGGATACACCGCTCTACAGTAATTTGAAAGTGAAGGCCAGTTTTGGCCAAAATCTTGGCTTCGGGCTCCTTTAACTATTAACTATGACTTTGGCCTCAATAAACTCCTAATTGCTGCTTATTAATTAGGAAGTTGTTAAGTTCAGGTAGTGGGTATGATTAAGGGATGTGGAATATTATAATGCCGAATAAGGTATTAATAATATGTGCTTTATAAATATTAAAAAACAGCCACTAGAATTGGTAGAATTGCACCCTAAACTGAAGTGCTACTGATATATTAAGTATCAACTAGTATTAATTGATTTAAGTCTCAACATTGTTTCAGATTTTTCTCCCTTAAAATTGCTTTAAAGAAATGAAAATAGACACATATGAGACAATAGTTGACAAACAGTATAAATGATCTTAGATCATTTGGTCGTGAAATCTTTTGAGGAAGGCTGCAAAAAGTCTTCATTTACTCTCCATTTAAAAATGTAAAAGTTGTGTTGTTCTGTTAAACAACAGTCTCTTCCTGCTGGGGTTGAAGAGACTCGTGGGAAACAAGCTCTTCACTGACCATTACTGCAACTTCCCTGTTTACAGGTTTACAATATGTGCTAAGCAGACAGTGTTTAAAGATGTGTCTGTGTGTACTGAGTGTGTCTGATACAGTTTGCCTGAGGGTTTCCTTTCCTCCATCTTGTTTGCTCTACACTGGAGTTAAGAGCTACAGCCCCACTGAGGGTCCTGACTCTACATACTTCCCTGGAATACCACAGAGTATTGAGGACTTCAAGAGTTACTGATCCACAAACAACTTGTTTAGGCACCTCTTTAAATTGGGTCACATATCTTACATTCTTTGCATGGACACACACATCTTGTACAGTCCAGTTGACATCTTTATAATTTCAGTACAGACCCAGCCTCACTGTTTTGAATGCAGAAAGGCATAATTTTTTTTAAAAGGGATAGTTCACCAAAAAATGAAAATCCTATCATAATTTATTCTCCTTCATGAATACCAAACCTGAACGACTTTATTTCTTCTACAGAACACAAAAGAAGATGTTTTTTTTTTTAATCCTATGGACAAAAAAGTTTAAACATGCTTTAAAATATATTATTTTGTTTTCCACAGAAGATATAAAGTCGTACATGTTAGGAATGATATGATTTTTCAATGAACCACTCTAATGGTTCGTAATGTTACACAATTTTTTGAGTGTTCATGTAATGTGTATAATATAATATAATATAATAATATAATATTTTAGATCGACATAGCCAAAATAGATGCATTTAATATATGTTTCTTGGAGGACAACATTGGGACAGAATTGGGACAGGAATTATAAATGTTTTAATAATTAATAAGTTTTGGATTTTTCATCTGATTAATCAAAGGAATAATCAACAGATTAACTGATTATCAAAATACTTGTTAGTTGCAGCACTACTTATGATTTTTTTTTTTTTTTGGTTGGCTAATAGCACCCAGTCAGAAAACTGTTAAAACATACTTTAAACATGCTTAAAAATAAAGTTTTTTTTTTTTTTTCAGTTCATTCACCTTTTCTGAACTATTAATGATTGAGGTCCTCAAATAGATTACTTTCTGTTCAAAAGCTTGCTTATCCAGGACGGACAGACCTTTCAGAGTAAGTCGTACTGACGTGCTCCATATGCAGGTTTGGTGAGAAACTCCTATTTGAACAAGAACTTCACTTCTGCAGGACGCTCTGGCAATGAAATCAGTGTCCTTGAGAGTGAGGAGTGAGTTTCCTGGTCAAAAGGTTATATCTTGAGTGAGTCTGGCACATTTAAATCTTTATTCAAGTGAGATCTTCAGAAGAAAATGAATTTAACATCTCCACTCAGCAGGTGATCTCAGTTGAGAGAAATCCTGCTGTGGAGAAACATGAACCGGTTGTGTGTGTGTGCTGGAATGTTCTGTTACTTTTAACACAAACCCCCCTAGACCCCTAAAGATCTGTCTTCATGTATTAGCTGTCAATATTCAGTGTTATAAATGAAATACAAGTTATTGAAGGAAAATTATTTTTGCCTATTAGTGATTCATGAAACTTAGACTAAATGGAGCTTTCAACTTTGTCTCAGATCATGTTTCGTCTAAAATTCCTTATAGGAGAAATACATAGACAAAATAGAAACACAAATTATTGACACAGAAAAAGTAGAGAGCTATAACACTGCATATAGTGCAGATAATAAGTTGGAAGGCAGTTTATATTGACGTTTGATTGCAGACTTTGGTTGGCTTATATGAACACAGTTGAGACATTATTGAGATCTCTTCTGAAACTCTTCAAGAGACAAAAGTGAGATTAACTAGTGCGATGTGGTCTTTAATATTTTTGTTCTTTAGGAGAAAGTTGAAATTTTTAGAGGGATCTTCTTGATATATTCATATAATTAATATAATTAATTGAATTGATACTTTCAGCAAGGACACATTAATTGACCAACAGTAATTTATTTTAATTTGTAATTTACAGTATTATTGTTTTTAATGGAACATAGAGACTTAAAAAAACTCGAACTGACCACATTTTTTCTTGTTAGTCAAGTCAAGTCAATTTATTTATAGAGCACTACATAAACACAACATTTGTTGATCCAAAGTGCTTTACAGATGGTCAAATAAGTTAATAAAGAAATAATAATAATAATAGACTATTAAGAGAACATTTTACACCTACAAATACACGGTGTAACCATACAGCATCACTCGAAGGCAAGAGTATAAAAATGAGTCTTTAAGTTACAGGTACTTTACAGACTACCACCATTTTGGTAATCAAATATGAAGATTCATAAGCTGACTTAGTTTCAAGACCTAACAATATAGGGCCTCAGGGCCTCTCCATCGCTCAACGTTTTTAAATCTAGTTTAAGCAGCATTGTGTTACTTTTGAAATTTTGCTCTCTGGGTCCCCCTACAGTTGGGAAACAGTATTGTCTTCTACTACTGTCGTAAAATCTGTCATGGTTACACCAGGGAATACCATAAAAGGGGAATACACACGTGCATTTGATGACAAGCGATACCCCCGAACTCTGCAGAAGGAAGGAGTTCTCACATCTTGGGCAGACTGCCAGCGTTGCGTGTGAAATGTCTTCATCCCAGGTCCATTGGCACATATTTCAGCATGTGATATGAATAAACTTTCATGGGCTTCATTTTTTTCAAACGTCAAAAGATCGCGTAGCTCACATTTACAAGCCAGCGTCTTTATAGTAACGTTAGCCTATTGGCTACTGTTTTAAATAATGGATATGCTAATTCAATTCAATGTCTGTTGGTAGATAATAGCCATATTGTCAATATTATAATATCAAGCTACCGTAGATGATTCTGCAAATCGATTTGCATTATAGCGTGAGGCAAGACTTTAAAAATAATGAACAAACATGACTATCAGCCTGTAGACATGGGATAGTTATCCTGACCGATTATTTTTGTCCGTCTAATCATGTATTATTTACTTGCAAGAATGTAGCCCCCACCAAACTCAGTAATCAGTATATTTGACCGCCCCGGCTCTACAGGGATGCTTGAGTGTGTTAAGCACCCTCAAAAGAAAGCAATGCAGTCTACATTGGATGTGGCGAGGGGCGAAGCTACACAACACATTACCAAAACTGATCGCGTGCGCGCTCTGTTTCTGACTCACTGCCTATTTAGTAGGCGAGGGAAGATTGATGCACCAGACCGGAGCCATGACAACATACAGAAGTAAAAAAAAAAAAAATGCTCGTTGGGCTCTCACATCTGAATTTGAGCAAGTGGGGGAAGTGATGTATGCCGTACAGCAGTCGAATTTTGTAGTTATTTTTGTGCTCGGATTCCTAGCCGCACCCCAAGTTACATAGTGCCAGTTAAAGCAATACAGACACTGTCAGGCTATGGCAGACCTGTCATTCAACCTATTGTAAGTCGATGTACCATCTCAAGGGTTTTGGAAAAATATCATAAAGGTTGAAAAAGTTACATAGTTTTGCTTTAATATTTGATCAATTATTGAAACATCCTGTTGGTAGCTGTATACAGATCATCCGTTAATTACGGAAACGCGTAATTAATGTGCAAATGCTTGCCAGATGTTTCAAAGTCCCTTGCTGTTTGAAAAGAAGTCATGCTTGAATGTGAGGCCTGGTTTGGATATATGTGTGTTTATGTAGGATAATACAGGGCCAAATGCAATGATCCGTCTGATCACTATACAACAGAAGACACGTGCCTCTAGACGCTGAGAGATGGGCAGACAGTTGCTGTACAGTTACACTATACTCAAAACTATCTTTTTCTCTGATCGGACACACGTTCGCTTAAACGTTTTGTAACTGCTCTGTCTAACCCATTAAAGAGGATTTCCCAATAAAAGGACAGGGGATATTCATGAGAAACTGCTGCTTTTCCTCGAAGCATTCATAACCCTGAGAGATAACCAAATGACTTTACCATGCATTGAGACAAAGTAAAAGGAATGAGAGAGTATGTCAATACTTGATCTTTATTGTGTTATGTTTCCTTTGAGACTCATTTGCTCATTTAAAAGCAGTAAGAGTTTATATCTTAAATTAAAAAGCCTAACTGTGACAATAATCCTCTTATTTACTTCTGAGGGGAAAAAGACACTATGTAGGGACCTTGTGAGGTCTTGTCAGGTGTCGTCTGCAGAACGCATCAGGCCAGATATACTGAGATCCCAGGAACGAAAGCTACGATTATTATATTTCCGTTCACCTCTGATCACTCTGGCCCAGAAATTTAAGGCCTTCAGTTTCTATGTAATACATCTCAGTAATTAAATGGAAGTCAGAAAGAGACTTTTATGTTTTATAAAGCTGAATGAATTAATGGATTGTCAAAAATCCCATAAATTAATACAGTATTTGTGGCATTCAATATACAGAATATGTTCAGCTCAAAAACCTCTTTAAAGGATATAAATGTTGACAGAAGGCTTAAATATTACACAACACAAACTTAATTAGTTCAACAACCTTTTAAAATAGTCTTTTCATTTGCTTTTCATTTCCTGTTGTTTATTTCTAGATGTTTTTCATCATCCTGTTCCCTGTTCCTGTTTTTCCCAGTCAGGGCCAGAGCAAGATTAATGGCAGAGGTCTGGATACAAAACAGATCTAGAGGTAGAAAGATTTAAAATGACAAAGAGAACGATCACCAGGTGTGAAACGTGGAAAACAGGGGCCTAAACAAGCTGAACAGATGGCGGAGTTGATGTTTATCCTCAGATGTATTTGTGTGTGTGCTTCAGCGTGCATGTCAGTCCTTATCAAGACACACATTTTAGCCACAGCAAACACATTGTAGTTTTGGGAAATCACTTAAAGGCATAGTTCAAGAAAGAAAATTCTGGCCTTGTCTTTCCACAGGAAAGATGTTGTCAGGACTCTGTGTATTATGTGATGTTTGCTTGAGGTCAGTGCCGTGTCGTCGAGTCAATGGTTGTACAAAACCAATGGAGATGGGTGAAAATATATATATGTTCTCATTTGATAAAATTAAAAATACAGATTTTTGTAATATTAGATAGTTGATGTTCAAATTATAGTCAGATGTGATGTGAAGTTCATCTGGTGATGCTGTGTTGCCTTAGAAACCAAGCGTGGGTGTGGCCTGAACCTTTGCTATGGCGACCCATCCTTGGTTTCTGAGGCTTTACAGAAAACACACTATCAAATATTGATTCCTAAGATAAGTTTCTATGAACGTATTGTGAGCAGAATGCAGCCGTTTGGACCAGCTTGTACTTATTACCTGAGTCTGAGCGCTGCATGGTCTGTGTGTGTTTGTTTGTGTGGGGGTTTATATAAGTGGGTTTGTTTGTGTGGTTTGTCTGTTTATGTGATGACATTTTTCTCACAAATTATGTTAAAATGACTGCACAATGGCATGAGACATGAAACCTTTTTACAGAAAGTCTTTCACAGATCTAACCAGCATCCTGGAGAGAGGGAACTAATCAAAATATAAAGCGGAACTACATGGATAAAGAAAGATAGATTTTCAAGATGGTTTTAAAGTAAAATATTAGGAGGAAACGGGCATCAAATAACAAGAGACATATTTAATATAAAAAATGGGTGACATTTAAATCAAAATCATCTAAAGCACTTGATAGATGGGAAAAAATGACCAAAACTCAAAATGTAATGGGGCTAAAATTTGATTATTGATTATTCTTTGTCTTTTTTCTTATATTAATTTCCAATATAAAGATTGTTATAGTCTTGGATGCTCAGGGTCTTTCTTTCTTTCTTTCTTTCTTTCTTTCTTTCTTTCTTTCTTTCTTGTCTTTTCAGATATAAACGAGTGTGCGGACGAGAATGGCGGATGTGAAGGCACGTGCTGTAATACTATCGGCAGTTATTACTGCAGGTGTCCTGATGGTAGTAAACTCGGAGATAATGGGAAATCCTGCCAAGGTAAGCTCACTCACATCCTAGTTTATATTATATCTCGGAAGACAACTAACCTCTCTATAATCACAGTGACCCGCTTAAAACAAACATTCGAGAAAGGAGTCCACATTATTCATATCTAAAAATAAGCTGCAGTAAATTAAAGACGACCTATTATGCAAAATTCACTTTTACATGGTGTTGAACATACTGTAAATTTTGTCAGCACAACCACCCTATAAGTGTAAAAATCCACCCAATTTTTTTTAAATCCATGTAAATCATAAGCAGTGTCTCAGATTCTAGCTTATGTGACGTCACAAATAATTAGGCCCCGCCCACGACTTCTGACGGACTCTGCCCTATTAGCGTTGACCCATCCTGAGTGAGCTATACCAACCCGGTCTCATCCCAAATCGTCATATAACTGACGTTTTGGGACGTCTTTTGACCATACGTCAATATTCGCCTTTTTAGGGCCCCCTTAAACGTCGGTAGATGAGGTTATGGGATCCTAACTCTACCCCATACCTAAACTTAACCCTAAACCTAACCCGTCACCTAACTGACGTTAAAGGTAAAGCGTCACTTGTATGACGGCCCGGGATCGCCATCTACCGACGTTTAAGGGGGCCCTAAAAAGGCGAATATTGACGTATGGTCAAAATACGTCCCAAAACGTCAGTTATATGACGATTTGGGATGAGACTGTGTTAGCTATACACAGTCCGCCATGTTTATCTCCTCGCCAGAGCATTTGACAATTCTTTTTAAAGCAACTAGTTATTCAGCTTAGAGCAGTGAGCGATTTTCTGTTTTTCTTTAGTTGTTTGATTCATATTTTCAGCATATTTAGCAGTAGACACTGTATATTACACTGCTTTCACTTTAACACACAAATATTCATGTGATTTCTTTACCTGCTGTTCACATTCACAGACATAACCAACTGCGTTTATGTGAACTTGTGTGTATTTGACAGTTCAATAGCAATACGAGGTGAAAGAGAACTTCATTTAATACTCACGGCCACGCCCTCTGACATTCACAAAACCATATATCAGAAGTTTAGACTGATTTGGCTTTAATATGCAGGCAGATAATAAACTTTCATGACAATGAAGAACATTCTGAGACTTTTTTGACCGGGTATGGCAATAATGCTTTGAATTGAGTAAGTAAAGTAAGTACTGTAGGTAAAGAGTAGTTTGCAATGCTTGCTGTGAATGATATCCAGGAATTACCCTTTAATCAATCCTGTGCATGACATGTGAGTGCATCAGAGGCTTGTTTAAGGCCATTAGCTTTGGCTAGGTTATATCATGAGATGAAAGATGATGAGCTTTGTGTGGGAAGCAGTGCCTGAATGTGCTGAGAGAGACGGTTCTACATCTGTGTCCATCTCAGCTGTTAGTGTGTAAGTGTGGTAATGATGATCCTGCCTGCTGTCTAAGGTCTTGCTGGACTGAAAGGCTACAGGTGAGGGAACAGGTGTATGAGAGATGCATTTACATTTACACCGTAAAGGTGGCACAGAAGCACTTAGGTGTCTTTACAAAGACTGTTTTATGTAACACAGTCTCATCCCAAAAAGTCATATAACTGACGTCTTGGGACGTCTTTTGACCATATGTCAATATCTGCCTTTTTAGGGCCCCCTTAAACGTCGGTAGATGGCGATCCCGGGCCGTCATACAACTGACGCTTTACCTTTAACGTCAGTTAGGTGACGGGTTAGGTTTAGGGTTAGGTTTAGGTCTGGGGTAGAGTTAGGATCCCATAACCTCATCTACCGACGTTTAAGGGGGCCCTAAAAAGGCGAATATTGACGTATGGTCAAAAGACGTCCCAAAACGTCAGTTATATGACGTCTTGTTATGAGACCAGGTTGTTTTATGCTGCTCTGAGGTGGCATACATTCATTTACATTGCAATTTCAATCGTATAATTTTATAGTGGCTAAGGTGGGTCAGAGCAAGCATCATTTAGTCTTGCTTTTTTTCAGCATTACATCTTTACTCCGAATCTTGAGCAGGCACAGAACAGCCTTAAATCAGTTCACTTTTCAAAAAACTAATTCTGACTCAGAAAATGATTCGTTCATTTTGATGAACGAGTTCGAACAGGAGAGTCACGAACGCTCATCACAGAACAGAGCAAGGCGAGCATTTAAGATTATAAAACTTAAACTTTGTTATTTATTTATTAAATGAGCGATCGTTTTGCTTGATAAGACGCTTATTCATCGTCTGGAATCGTTTAAAGCCCTTTGAACAGCTTGAAGGTTGTACTGAAACTCTCATTTGGACCTTGAACCGTTTGGTTCCCATTGAAGTCCATTATATGGAGAAAAATGCTGGAATGTTTTCATTAAAAACCTTAATTTCTTTTCGACTGAAGAAAGAAAGACATGGACATCTTGGATGACATGGGGGTGGGTAAATTATCAGCAAAAGTTTTTTCAAAAGTGAACTAATCCTCTGTAAAGACGCCTAGCTAGAGAAAGAGACAACATACACAGAGTTGCAGCAGTTCTGTTATTAGCTCACTCTGATGAAGAAATACTATAGAAAAATAAAATCAATGCAGGCTGGTTAAATTAGTACTGTTAATAATTTGATGTTTATTTGCATGGGCAAATAATGAAGAAAAGGTTTTTTTATGATTTCAACTATATCCACTATCTAGTAATTTATTGTAAATTCACAGTGCTATTTTGTAATTGATATTTGATAGTCTTCGTGTCTTGTAACATGACGTGTGAATCTTCTGACTCTGTAATGGCTGCTTTCGATTTTTTGGGGAATAGTGAAACAGATGGCTGTAATTGAATTCATTAGGGTCAGAAGGTTTAATTATTGCTAATGATCCACATTCAATAATCCAGTCATGGGGCAGGCAGTACAGCACTTCCATAGTTGACTGCATGTAGGAATCTGTAGGAATTCATCCCATGCAAGAGTCTGACAAAACCCATGTTACACTGAGGAAATTTTAAATGATCTCTCAGAAAGCTACAATATCATGCATGGCTCCCAACAATATATCATTACAGTGAAGTATGTGTTGATCTTGGACAGTTCTTTGACAAAGGAGTATGAATTTGGACATTATATGTGAATGTGTTCAGCAGATGTTACAGTATATACTGTATGATCAGGTCTCATACAGAAGCTGTCTCATTCTTGAACATGGCAAATTTCTCTGAGAATTCAAAAGTTTGACATTTTAAAGTTGTCATTGTTAATTTTCTTAACAATTTTCATTTTCAAGTTATATTTTCAATAAAAAAACTTAAAAACAAGAGTGAGATCTGACTGCTCATTTCTGTTCTTTTCTGACAGTGTGAATTTAGGAAATCTGTGTTTTAAAAAATAAAGATTCTTATGATGTCATTGTCACGGTGCGGGTGCAGGCAGAAGAACAGGCGGGTACAGAATCTCGGTAGAGAGACATTTATTTCAAAAACAGTCAGGAAGACGGGATACACGGCGTAACATGGAACATTGACCGACAAAACTGAAACAAACTGGACTGAACTAAATACACAGAGGAATCAGGGTTAATGAGGTGAACACAGGTGAAAAAGATAATGACAGGACGAGGAACAGGTGGCTGATTGGGGAGTGAGTCCGGGAGAGGAACAAAAGGATCCGGGGAAGTGTGGTGCAGATGACAAGACAGGACGGTGAGCACGACAGACTGTGACATTACTCCCCCCTCCCGGAAGGCGTGGCCTCACGCCATAACATCAATGGGGAGGGGGGGGTGGGCACCCTGGAGGCTGTGGAGGGCGTGGTCAGGGGGAGACAGCCCCCCCAGGGCGGAGCAGGATGAGGGCGAGGCCAGGGCGGAGCAGGCTGAGGGCGTGGCCAGGGCGGAGCAGGCTGAGGGCGTGGCCAGGGCGGAGCAGGCTGAGGGCGTGGCCAGGGCGGAGCAGACTGAGGGCGTGGCCAGGGCGGAGCAGACTGAGGGCGAGACCAGGGCGGCGCAGGCTGAGGGCGAGACCAGGGCGGAGCAGCTGGAGGGAGGACCCCTGGTGGAGCCGATGGTAGTGGGGCTGCCAACACCAGGGGGCCGACTGACAGGGGCGGAGCGGATGGGAGAGGAGACCGGGGTGCAGCAGAGGGACTGACGACATGTGGTGCTGATGAGGGACTGAGGGGACATGGTGATACCGTAGGCTCTGGTGACTGAAGTGATGACAGGGGCACGGAGGGACACAGTGAGGTCAGAGGGCGTGAGGGCTGACGGGTGACTGGAGGGAGTGAGGAGTCCGACAGAACCGGGGGGGTGACATGACGGGGCGGAGCCAGAGGAATGAAGTCCAAAGGTGAAGGGAGGACGACGAGGGAGCGAAGGGAGTCCGGAGGGTCGAGGGAGCCTGGCCGAGCTGGTGGACTGAGGGACCATGGAGGAGCTGAGGGAGGTAGGAGCCACGGGGGAGCCAATGGGACCGGGGCCGAGGAAGTGTCCAAATGGGGAGGTGTGAGGCGAAGGCCAGGGATACACGGACCAGGCTGGTTTCGGGGGCTGAAGGGCAGGAGAGCAGAGGGAGGACAGATGAGAGGAGGCGGGAGAGGGAGGCTGGGCGGGATCCTGGTCTCTGGCGCCGGCTGGACGGTCTCTGGCGTTGGCTGGACGGTCTCTGGCGCTGGCTGGACGGTCTCTGGCGCTGGCTGGACGGTCTCTGGCGCTGGCTGGACGGTCTCTGGCGCTGGCTGGACGGTCTCTGGCGCTGGCTGGACGGTCTCTGGCGCTGGCTGGACGGTCTCTGGCGCTGGCTGGACGGTCTCTGGCGCTGGCTGGACGGCCTCTGGCGCTGTCTGGACGGTCTCTGGCGCAGGCTGGACGGTCTCTGGCGCAGGCTGGACGGTCTTTGGCGCTGGCTGGACGGTCTCTGGAGAGCTGGACGGAACCAGCAGTGAAGAGCATACAGTCTCTGAAGGGCTGGACGGAACCAGCTGTGAAGAGCATACAGTCTCTGGAGTGCTGGACGAAACCAGCAGTGAAGAGCGTTCAGGCTCAACAGGACTGACGGGGAGCGCAGACTTCCGGGGAACGAGACGCAACCGGGGTCGCAAGACCGGGTAGGGAATCCCCCGGAAGATCACGACGTCCCTGTTGTCTGGAGGGCTGGGCGGAACCAGCAGTGAAGAGCATACAGTCTCTGGAGAGCTGGACGGAACCAGCGGTGAAGAGCATTCAGGCTCAAAAGGACGGACGGTGAGCGCGGGCTCGGCAGGGCTGACGGTGAGCGCGGGCTCGACAGGGCTGTCGGTGAGCGCAGACTCAGCAGGGCTGACGGTGGGCGCAGACTCGACAGGGCTGACGGTGAGTGCGGGCTCGGTAGGGCTGACGGTGAGCGCAGACTTCCGGGGAACAAGCTGTAACCAGGGTCGCAGGACCGGGTAGGGGATCCCCCGGAAGATCACGGCGTCCATGTAGGTTTTTTGGTCGGTCAATCTGTCACGGTGCGGGTGCAGGCAGAAGAACAGGCGGGTACAGAATCTCGGTAGAGAGACATTTATTTCAAAAACAGGCAGGAAGACGGGATACACGGCGTAACATGGAACATTGACCGACAAAACTGAAACAAACTGGACTGAACTAAATACACAGAGGAATCAGGGTTAATGAGGTGAACACAGGTGAAAAAGATAATGACAGGACGAGGAACAGGTGGCTGATTGGGGAGTGAGTCCGGGAGAGGAACAAAAGGATCCGGGGAAGTGTGGTGCAGATGACAAGACAGGACGGTGAGCACGACAGACTGTGACAGTCATAAGCAGATGTATTGGATGAATTCACTTTTGCTCATTACAGACTTTATCCATTACTCCACAATCCTTACACCTTCCCCCTCAAACTTTACCTAAGGCTTCTTTTACATTAAATACGTTTTTTAAAGCAAACATCTGTTAAAGCATTAAAGAATTGTATGGCATTAAAGAAGGCTGGTCACCATTAATCTCATGTATATAAGCACATTCCTCATACTGACAGTTTTACTATTACTATTTATGGCCAATCTCTAATGCATTGAACATGTTAATGTTTCATTTAGAACAGAACGAAAAAGTAATTTTCAAAAAGTACCTGTATTGTCATGTTTTTTGGACATGTATTTGATAGTAAAGAAATCCATGCTTACTAGAAGAAAATCATTGATTCAGATATTTATAAAATAATATATTCATCATTATTTTGTATTTACCAGTGATTTTACGACTTTGATTTTTTTTTTGCTGTACACAGCCTTTTACATTTTGACCCAGCCATATTTAGACATTATGTGAATGAATGAATTTAGAGACAAATACAATTTTAGAGGACCTATTATGCCCTTTTACAAAGTCTTGATTTTGTTTTTGGGGTCTACTACAGTTGTGATGGCATTATAGAAGAAAACTCAGCTGTTATCTTGGAAAAAGAAGGTTGCAAAAAGTATTTAATAACAGGGCGCTAATAATTATGGCATATGTGTTTTGGAGAAAAACATTGATTTCATAATGTGATTTTTTTTAATGAAAGATCAAAAGTATAAATAATACAGAATTATTGTTACAGCCATCATAAAAAGGGTGCCAATAATCTTTATATATTTTTTTTACATATTTGACATTGTTGCGGCACCCCTCTTCTCTGTCTGTCAGTAACGATCTAGTTCCAGTCTCTATGAAGCCACTCCTTCCGAAAAACGAAGTGTGCTCTGACTGGTCATCTCACTCAGTGTGTTGGCGAAACATGGTGAAAACACACTTTTAACGCAACTAGACCTCGCTTCCTTTATTTTGCGTATGAATTGGGAAGGAACATTTTAGTGAGGTCAGAAACAGTGTTTACTGATATAGAGAATAGCTCCCTTTAGACTTTGTGCTTTGTAACTTTTTAGACCTTTTTCATTATACTAAAGAAATTTGAAAATGTAAAAAAACAAAAAACAAAAACATAATGGCCCTCTTTAAATAAATAAATAAATAAATGATTAAAAGAAAGCCGATAAAATTTTATCTGCCAAATGTATTAAATTCAAGTGAAGACAGACAATGTCTTATTTGTTCCATAATGTGTGTGTTCATGCAAGTTGTTCCCACAGATAAAGATGAGTGTGAGGAGCTGAACGGTGGTTGCCAGCAGACGTGTGTGAACACACTGGGTTCGTACCACTGTGAGTGCAGAGAGGGTTTCCGCATGCACGCCGATGCTCGCACATGCATAGGTAAGATCTTTACAAATCGCTTACATGCTCACAAACACATATGTATCTTGAGTAGCATCTGTGAATCACCTATAGCAATGCATTCTGGGAAGGAGAGCAACAGCAGGCTGCCTAAAACTCTGCTAGCTCAACAAACAGCGTGAACACAGCTAGTTGAGCTCGGGTTCTGCTGAACTCATCAACCTAAAACAACCTGGATTCTAACTACTTTACTGGAGTCTGGATGTGTCATCACTCTGTGACAGGCCTGGCGATGTCATCACAGTGAGACAACAGCGCTGACCTGTCCCCTAAGGCTCCGTAAATCTGCCAGCTCAGACACGACATGGAAACATCATCATTCAGAGAGCAAGAGAGAAGGAATGAGAACCTTCCAAAGCTGTTAATATATAAATATACTCAAACTCCAAACTGGATTTGATTCAGAAAAGTTTTCCCTTCACAATGAAAGTTTTTCTTCCTCAGAAAACAGAAAATCTGAGTTTGCCATTACAATCTATCTGGCAGTCAAATGTCTGGGTTGACCGAACTGAATTGTAACCAAATGGTCGTAAGAGCGCTAGCAAAGGAGTGTTAAGAAAGCACAGTGTTGCTGTTTGTTTGTGGCTGTTTTCCAGTGGCCAACTCTTGCTCTGTAAAGAATGGCGGCTGTGAACACAGGTGTGTCGATTTGGGAAATGACCAGTACAAGTGTGAATGCCGCAGCAACTACCAGCTCAAAAGAGATGGAAAACACTGTGAATGTGAGTTCACATGCACACGCCATCTTTGACTTAGGTTTTTACTGTAGTCATATTGTGATGGTTATGTGAACACTTGTCTGTGTGTGTGTGTGTACTGTGTTATTCTCTCAGTGAAGGATCCCTGTAAGGAACGTAATGGTGGATGTTCTCATATCTGCAGTAATGTGAATGGACAGGTGCAGTGCAGCTGCAGACCAGGATACAAACGGGAAGCCGACTTTAGGAGATGTGAAGGTTTGTGTACACAGACATGTACCCATATATAGACCTTATGCTGCCCCGCCCCTTTTCAGTGCTGTGCTCGTTGCCTTTTGACTTCCGGTCTGTATTTCCACAGCGATCTTGCATAGGTATGAATGATCTGCTTTACAATGCTTATGATAAACATTACAATGCTCATGATAACTTTTGTTAACTCTACAATAAGTAGATCCACTTCACCAGCTAATTACTCCTCGACAGCGATGCCATAGAAATTGACAGAACCGGAAGTTCAAAGACAATATTCTAAAGATGACGGCGCCCACGTTTCTCTGGTGCATAAGGTCTATACACTCACCTAAAGGATTATTAGGAACACATGTTCAATTTCTCATTAATGCAATTATCTAATCAACCAATCACATTGCAGTTGCTTCAATGCATTTAGGGGTGTGGTCCTAGTCAAGACAATCTCCTGAACTCCAAACTCAATGTCAGAATGGCAAAAAAGGTGATTTAAGCAATTATGAGCGTGGCATGGTTGTTGGTGCCAGACGGGCCGGTCTGAGCATTTCACTCACAATCTGCTCAGTTACTGGGATTTTCACGCACAACCATTTCTAGGGTTTACAAAGAATGGTGTGAAAAGTGAAAAACATCTAGTATGCGGCAGTCCTGTGGGCGAAAAAGCCAGAAAATGCTAGAGGTCAGAGGAGAATGGGCCGACTGAATCAAGCTGATAGAAGAGCAACTTTGACTGAAATAACCACTCGTTACAACCGAGGTATGCAGCAAAGCATTTGTGAAGCCACAACACGCACAACCTTGAGGCGGATGGGCTACAACAGCAGAAGACCCCACCGGGTACCACTCATCTCCACTACAAATCGGAAAAAGAGGCTACAATTTGCAAGAGCTCACCAAAATTGGACAGTTGAAGACTGGAAAAATGTTGCTTGGTCTGATGAGTCTCGATATCTGTTGAGACATTCAGATGGTAGAGTCAGAATTTGGCGTGAACAGAATGAGAACATGGATCCATCATGCCTTGTTACCACTGTGCAGGCTGCTGGTGGTGGTGTAATGGTGTGGGGGATGTTTTCTTGGCACACTTTAGGGCCCTCAGTGCCAATTGGGCATCGTTTAAATGCATCGTTCAACATTTCTAAATAATGCTTTCAGCACCTTGTTGAATCAATACCACATAGAATTAAGGCAGTTCTGAAGGCGAAAGGGGGTCAAACACAGTATTAGTATGATGTTCCTAATAATCCTTTAGGTGAGTGTATGTTAACTTTTCCTTCTTTTTTTATTTCTACAGATAAATAATGCTCATCTTGTGCCACCTTAGACACTGTTTTCTGTCTTTTTCAATTTTAAAATAAGTCTAATTTTAGGAAGAAGAAAGGAAAGCTTGTGAAGACAAACTTTAATGGTTTGCTTGAATGTTAAATATGTTGTTTTAAATAGACTTGACAAAGTCTTGATGTTTGAAAGTTTTTTTAGGCCTTACAGACAGACAGACATATTTATTTTATCCTTGTTTATTATATTATTACTTTATATTATATTATTTTTATTATGTATTTTATTTTATTTATTATTTTATTATTTTGTTATTTATTTAATTATTTATATGATTTAAATTTTTATTTAATTAAATTTTATATATAAAATAGACACACACACACACACTGCTGGTGTAATGAGCCTGCTGTTAGTTACTATGTGTTTAGGCCAGTATATAGTCATGTTTGTCTGGACCTCATTTAGCTATGTCCAGACTCCAGATTTTATGAGACTTCAGCAGACCCCATGATGAGACTCTCACCCCTGCTGTGCAAAAACATACATTGCCATGCTTACACACACACACACACACACACACAAACCAGTAGTGAGTTTTACAGTGGCATATATCCTAATTGCCCAATCGTTTCCTCTCCCAGACATTGATGAATGTGTGTCTGGTCAGGCTAAATGTGCTCACGGCTGTGCTAATGTGCCGGGATCATTTCGTTGTGTGTGTAATCCGGGATTCGAGCTGGGTGCTGATGGGAAACAGTGCTATCGTGAGTACACATACACATTAACACATGTTCTGTGAGTCTTTTAAAATAATGTTCAGTGTAAGCCTAAAACACTTTGAAAAACTATCATCAGATTATCTCAGTAGTTCACTGACATGTGGAATCAGTTTTCTGGAGCCAAACAGTCTGTGATTGGTCGGTGTCTTTGACATGCACCAATCAGTGATTAGATAACCTTGTAGAAACCCTAACGTGGAGTGACGCTTCTGCAGGTATAGAGATGGAGATCGTGAACGGCTGTGAGAAAAACAACGGTGGCTGCTCTCATCACTGTGAGCACACCACCAGCGGGCCCCTGTGCTCCTGTAACCAAGGTTACCAGCTCGCTGAGGACCTCAAGGCCTGCATAGGTACCTGCATAGGATTGTTTTAAAAATTAAATTAAAATTACAAATTAAAATTCCTGTGACGTCAAAGCTGTATTTTCAGCATCATTACTCCAGTCTTTCATGTCACATGATCCTTCAGAAATCATTCAAATATGCTGATTTGATGCTAAATTAACATTTGTTTTTATTATCAATGTTGAAAATGGTTGTGCTGCTTAATATTTTGGTGGAAACTGGTACATTTCAGGATTATTTGATTAATAAAAAGTTAATTTATTTGAAATTGAAATTAGTAGGAACATACTTGTTCTAACGTGATATTTTTGATAAATGTATTGCATCATTGTTAAATAAAAGTATTAATTTCTTTAAAAAAGAATTATTTAAATAATTCTCGGTAAATCCATTTTAGTTGAATAACTGTATAATGACAAACAATCCCATTGAGAAAGATGCATCTGAATTACAATAACTTTACTTATTAAAATTAATTAATTGCGATTAAACAATTCTTACATAAAAGTATAATATATATATATTTGTATATGCACACACACATATATTAAATAAATACAAACTTTTATTTTAAGATTGATTAATCGTGAAGAATCGATTTGACAGTACTATTTATATTTCCAAACATAAAATTCACAGGTCACTATTATTTAATTCCTCAACGGTAAAATTGGAATAAATCTCACAAATGTTGGTCATATGTAAAGTCAAGATTAACTATTATTGGCGTAGAAACATAATTTGTGTGATTGTTGTGTTGTCTACACATATTATTCAAATGCTTGCCTGCTTTTTTGTGTTAATGTTACATTGTGGATTTTTTTTCTCATGTCAGTAAGTGAAAATGTTTCTGAATGTGTGTTTGCTGTCTACAGACACAGATGAGTGTGAAAACGGGGAGGCGTGCTGTAGTCACTTCTGTAAAAATTACCCAGGAGGCTATGAGTGTGGCTGTAGACCTGGATACACACCCAACGGCTGCACATGTGACGGTATGTGTGTGTGTGTGTGCTTAGTATCATGTCTTCATCGTTTGACCTTCTCTTAATCACAGATTTGAGTCTTAAATTGACGCTGAACTCCATCTTTAACTTTATAGACTTGCACATGAATCTATTTGCCCCAGTTTTCATCCTAAAGGGGCTATTAAAAGTTGATTTGAACATATTTTTGTTAACATGAAGGCTGTTTTAATATGAATGTCTCTCTTCAGACATTGACGAGTGTGTGTCCGAGACGTCAGGATGTTCTCAGTACTGTGTTAACACCCTGGGCTCTTATGAGTGTTTCTGTCAGGTGGGCTTCAGAATGGACTATGACCAGAAATCATGCTCACGTGAGTACAAGTTTGATTGGCTGTTGGAAGTGTTGCAAATCAGAGTATTATTGACACCTAGAAGACATGTTTTGAGTTGGTTTATATAATCTCTATCAGTGCTATAGTGTCATTGAGGTACTATTATAGTTTTAATTAATATTTTCAATTAATTTTTGTTTAATATTTTCTTTTTTATTTCTATTTTTTTTGTTTTTTATTTCTATTTTTTATTATCTATATCATTTTAATTTTATTTTACATTAAGTACTAAACTAAATGAAAATAAAGAATGTTGCCTTGGCAATAATAAAATAAATATTCATATTTTGAACAAAAGTTATTGCTGTTGTTTTATTGTTTTTAAAGTTGTTTTTAGTTTTAGTTATCTATACTAACCCCAATTTCTATTTCTCTGTATATGTCTATATTCGTTTCCTTTCCATCTCTTCCATTCGGTATGATTTTGTGCGTTTAGCTCTGTATGATAAAGAATTGGAGGAGGAGGAGGAAGAGGAAGACGTGGTTGGCGGTGAAGATGAGCCTGAGGTCCTCCGTTTGCCGGATTTGCTGTTCCGTCGCCCCCCTCAACTGCTGCATTACACCGCCGCTTTACGCAGACCGTATGATGATGACACACACACTTACTACCCAGGACACCCGCACAGCCGAGAACAGAGAGAGGAGCTGACCATCATCAGCAAGATTAGTAAGAGAAACTAGGAACGGTAACATCAGAACTGTGACATAAACACACAGAAAAGGAAAGGACACATAACTACATTTTGATCTCTGTATATCAGTGTGTGAGGACGGCTCATTCGGTGACGACTGCAGTGTGAGCTGTGAGGACTGTGCCAATGGAGGACTGTGTGCGTTAGAGAAGGATCGCTGTGTGTGTGCGCCCGGCTGGACTGGGGTCACCTGTAATGACAGTGAGTGTGTTTATTCTCTACTATCATTGTGTAGAGAATCACTTCAGTTTAAAGGAATAGTTAGTTCTGTCATCATTTGCTCACCCTCAAGTTATTCCAAACCTGTATGAGTTTCTTTCTTCTGTTGAACACCAAAGAAGATATTTTGAAAAATGTTGGTAAACAGACATTAGATGATAGCCATTGACTTACAAGACTTACTACTTACTTACTTACTAGTATCTTTTTTTTTGGTAACACTACTTGAAAGGGGTGTGCATAAGACTGACATGACACCTTCATAACCATGACAAGACATATTTCATGAATATGAAGTAGGGTTTATGCATGTTTATGACAACTGTCATTAAGTGTCTTTCGCTCAATAATGACATTTTGAATGCAAATATGACATTGTTTAAGATGTCTTTGTTATGACATCTTGACATAAACCATAACATCATAACCTGTCAGTGTCTTTGTCATGAAATCTTGACATTATTAAATTAAGTTAAACTGTCATGTGGTTGGCTTTGACATTGGCTGTCATCATGAGGCCATTATAACTGTGTCATGAATATTTTTTGTGACCTCAACTACAGTGGTACTAATTGAATTTTTCATTAAAAAGTTATAATGGCTTTATGACAGCCAATGTCAAAACCAACCACCTGACAGTTTAATGTAATGTTAACCATTAAAGCTAGGTGGTTTCTTAAATTTAATATTAATCTGCCATGTCATGTTTATGACAGGTTGTGTTGTCTTAGTAAGGTCATTTTGTCATGACAAAGACACTGACAGGTTATGATATATTGGTTTATGTCAAGGTTTCATAACAAAGACATCTTAAACAATGTCATATTTGCATTCAAAATGTCATAACTGAGCGAATGAGACTTAATGACAGTTGTCACAAACATGCATACAACTTCCTTCATATTCATAACATATGTCATGTCATGATTATGAAGGTGTCATGTTAGTCTTATGCACACCCCTTTAAGTAAAGTGTAATAGTATAATTGACTCGTCCAACTGGAATGGAATTTGCAAAAATCTTTCTACGTAAGTCTGAATGCCCTAAATCTGCAGATTAAGTCTGACTTTCGCCAACTAACATTGAATCATTCAGACTGAAAATCAAGGTAAATATAAGTCATTTAGTTGGAGTAAATTATCTGTATATAGTAGGGCGTTAAATATCATATAAACATCAAAACATTTATTTCCATCAAGAGGTGCATACATTTTTGGTCAAGATCTTGCATTGCACTCTGTAAAGTTTCCTCCTGCACATCCCAAAGACTTTCAAAGAAGTGCCAATTCATGTGTGAAAATGATTTTTCATGCTCCCTCCCAACCATCTTGAATATTGATTTTGAATCTTGACATTGTCATCCTGAAATATATCCAAGATGTGTCTTCCTAGAAGGTTGTTTAGGAAATAAATAGCTATACACTCCATCAATAAGATTTAGAAGAACTGTCGCTAAACATATAACCTGCTAGAAACAAAATAATCACAACAATAATGATCCAATCGTAGACTCTTCAGCATTTGCCTATTTAAATCCAGCCATCAACCTTTTTTTGACTGGGCAATGTATGTTTACAAAAGAAGCACATTCATAGATTACGTGACAGAATATTATACATGAGACCTAAATTCAGTATATAATGAGATAAAGGTGTAATTTTTCCTGTCTTCTTCTTCTTCCCCCGTCTAGCTGATGTACAGCTCCCTGCTGTACTTACCCTTACTTATACAGAAATCCCATCAATCCACTGAGCAATGACTCTAAGCAAAGTACTTCCTGTAGAGACACTATAACTCAACTATGTTATAACATAAATTGACAGCGTGTTGGAGAGCCGCAGTCCTTAGAGCATCTCCAAACCCATCATTGTAAATTCACATGAGCGCGATTTGAATTTTCCATACCGTCTCATTTTTAATCCACCCTAAAGTCAACAGAAAGTACGATGGCTGCTGTATATTTCTCGGCCCCTGGTTCCTCTGAGAACCCTAAACATGTATTTACTTATGCATTCTTTCTCTGTATTTCTTTCAGCTTGTGCTGAGGGCACATTTGGTGTTCAGTGTAACAGTCTGTGTGTTTGTAAGAATGGGGGCCGCTGTGACCCAGTGACTGGGATGTGCTTGTGTCCTCCAGGGGTCCAGGGTCTGCACTGTGAAAACGGTACAGCACACAAGCTTTATGTCTGGTCTTTTAACTGTGTGTGTGTGTTTTTTTTTTTAACATCTTCCAATTCCCATGGCTTGTGATGTTTCCTCTTTCCTCTCTACTTGCAGTGTCATATTTCATTATTCATAAAATTATCTTTTTACCTTTGTAATGCTATCTTTTTCTGTCGACTCATGTTGACTCGTGTTGAAAAGAGAGGAATATAAGATGAGGTATTTCTTTTTTTCCCTCTTTTTTAATATTTTTGATAGTCTGTCTCGGTCCAATTACAACACAATGTCATTTTTAACAAGTAAAGAAACTCTTTTTTTTAAGGGTTGTCAAACGATTAATCGCGATTAATCGCTCCAAAATAAATGTTTGTGTTTACATAATATATGTGGTGCACTTTGTATAATTATTATATACTGTATTTATATAAATACACACATGCTTGTTTAAGAAATATTTTCATGTATATACTGAGTATAGATTTATATATAATTTATATTATTTATAAATATAAATATTTTATATATAAGTAATATTTTTTTTCTTAAATATACAGGCATGTGTGTATATATATATATATATATATATATATATATATATATATATATATAACTTTAATTTTGGATGCGATTAATCGCGATTAATCACTTTTTGGAAAGAAAGTAATACTTTTATTCAGCAAGGACACTTTGAATTGATCAAAAGTGACAGTAAACACATTTAAAATGTTAAAATATGATTTATTTTTCTAATAAATTGCTGTTATTTTGAGCTTTTTCTATTTTTCAAAGAATTACAGGTTTCAGCAGTGCATCTGTTAGAATAGCAGTTATTCTAAATTGTATTAATATTTCAATTTGACTGTTTTTACTGTATTTTTGATCAAATAAATGCAGCCTCTCTGAGCATAGGAGACTATAACAAATATCAAAACAAGAAATTAATACCAGAATCTTTGTATCCACTTTGTTGGCTCCTTTATTATCAGTATGATAAAAAACAAAGTCACAAAAGTGTCTGCTAAATGAATAAGTGTATTAATAAATGGCAAGCATGATCCCAGACTAGCTGGAGCCCTCGGGTTTAAGTTCCTTAAACTTTTCTTCTTCTCCGTTTGCCCTTGGTCTTTATCGTCTTCATCACATCATCCATCAACTGCTTGTCTCTGAAATTCCTGTCTGATTAGAGCTGGTCAGATAATTCGTATCATTTCTGATGTAATGTGCTTTGTGTAAATCCAGAGGAACATTGTGGAATTTCACTGATGTACCGCATGTGTGTGATGTCATCAGGTTGTCCGCAGGGTTTCTATGGGAGGTTCTGTCGAAGGCGGTGTAACTGCCCCAATAATGGACCCTGCCATCGTCTGTATGGGGGTTGCCTTTGCACACCCGGAAAATATGGCAAATTCTGCCACCTGCGTAAGTATTTATCATGCTACAGTCAAAAATGGTTACTTATCTCCTTCCAGTTATTTTGAGGTGTAGTAAAATAGTGTTTCTCCACATTAGCATGTCCCAAATGGACCCATGGTGCGGGGTGCTCGGAGGAATGCGAATGTTCGCAGGAAAACTCTCTCTCTTGCGACCCCCTAAAAGGCACCTGCATTTGTAAACCTGGCTACCATGGCGGACACTGCCTGGCAGGTAGGTGATGTTTTACAGCATTAGAAACAGTTGTGTCAGACAGGTACATATGTTGTGTTCATGTATAGAATGTGATGACGGTTTCTTTGGCGATGGCTGCCGTGAGCGATGTAACTGCTCTGATGGGGAGCCGTGTGACCCTAAAACCGGAGAGTGCCAGAAGATGTGCCCACCCGGATACCATGGAGAGAAATGCCAGCTGGGTAAGACTCACAGTCACACAGCGATCTGCGTTCGGAAGGGAATTCTGACCTATTACTTACTGTACACTCATACTGAACAGTTCGTACTCTTCCATTCAAACGTTTGGGGTCAGATTTTGTTTATTTGAATGAAATTAATACTTTTTATTCAGCAAGGATGTACTAAATTGATCAAAAAAGTGACAGTAAAGACATTTATAATGCTACAGAAGATTTCTATTTCAAATAAATGGTCTTTTGAACTTTATATGCATGAAATAATCCTGAAAAAAGTACCATGATTTCAAATATATTTATCAGCACAACTGTTTTCAACATTTATAGTAATAATAAATGTTTCCTGAGCAGCAAATCAGCATATTAGAATAAATGCTGAAGGATCATGTGACACTGAAGACTGGAGTAATGCTGAGATTCCAGTTTTATCATAACAATTTAAAGTATATTAAAATAGAAAACTGTTAATTTAAAATGTAATATTTCACATTTTACTGTATTTTGACAACTTTTACTGTTCAAAATATATGTATTGCAAACTACTCATTTAAAAATGTATTTAGTGTATTTAGAATACTGAATCCCAAAATGCAATGCGGTTTAAAGGTATAGTTCACTTTGAAATTAATTTTTGGTATGTTTTAGCTTACTTCAAGGGCATCCAAGATGTAGGTGTCTTTGTTTCCACAGTAGTTTCAATTTTGATATTTTCAGGTCAAACCGTTCTTGTCTGTCAGTCATATAATGCAGGTCTATGGTCACCACCTCAAAGAGCATGCACAGAGAAGTCCAAATTAAACATGATTTAATGACTCGTAAATGTAAGTATACATTGAATAGATGAATAGAAATTGAATTACTGAGTGTATTTTAGATGTCTCTTTTTCATGTAAATCAGAAAGGGGCTGCTAACTTTCCAAATGGGACAATGTTGCATCGCCCTCTAGTGATTGTCAGATGTCGGTGCACAGAACTCATTTAATGGCTCAGTTATTTTAATAGCTCAATAATGTCTGCATCAGAGATCAACTGTGAACAATCAATCATCAGACATTATGTCCTGTTTAAATCCCAAGGAGCAGATGCACTAAACACTCACACATGAAGACACACACTGACAGCTGTAAGTGGCAGTCATTATATAGAGCCGTGTGTCAATTCAGTTCAGCTCAGCCTCAGTAGCTTTGTATTAAAGAGTGAGTCACGGAATAAATGTTTTATGTAGCTAGATTTATGTTTTACATCTCCGTTATGTTATGAAAATGATATATTAACACACACACACACACACACACACACACACACACACACACACTGTGTGTGTGTGTGGATATAAATGGGGTTTCCCTCTGTTCACTGAAGAGAGAAACAAATGAATTTGGAAAGAGCGTCATGCTTTAATAACATATTTGAAGTGTCTGTTTTAGTTATAAGTCTTTCTTGATCACTTAGCTACATACATTTTTTAGTCTTAATGGCTAAAACAGATCGTAGCTGGGTCTTAATGCTAAAACAGGCCCTTTATCCCATCCTCAGGGGTGATTCTGGGTAATTGAAGGGAGTTTGAAGGAGAGCGCTTCACAGTTTAGAACAAGAAAAAGAGAGCGAGTGAATACAGACAGCATAGACTAGACAGACAATCTTGTCCATGTTGGAAATGTAATGCTAAATTCTTCTGTTTGTCTATTAGCCTACCAAAGCTGTTTCTAATGAACAAACTAAATTTGCGGTTCTTTCTCTCTCTCTCAATCTTGTTCTCAGAGTGTGCCGCTGGCTATTAGGCCTACCGTAATAGTATGACAACAATAAATAACATTACAAAAATGACTTTCAACAGGACAATAACAAATTTAGCCTAATGTTTTGATTTGTTCACATTGATAACAAACATCCTCACTCTGTAGTGTGCGAGGCAGGTTTTTGGGGCGTAGGCTGTGCCAATGTGTGCCGGTGTGGCAGTAATGCAGTAACTTGTGAGGCCAGCAGTGGGCGCTGTGTGTGTGAGGCTGGATACACTGGAGATCAGTGTGACAGGAGTAAGTCTTTTCTGTTTCATTCTCCTTCTCTCTCCTTGTTTTAGAGTCTTATTCTGGTATTTATTTACATATTTATGGTACAACATGTAAAAATTCTGGTAAAAATGTTAAATCTGAGGCTAATTAAGATGCAAATGCTGCCACCTTGTGTAAAAATAATAAAACCACACATACTAGTCATACTAGTTCTATTTTTGGTATGCATAATGTGCACAGTATACAAAATTTAGGAAACAAATAGGTATTTCATAAACACAGGACTTACAATATTAGGCTAATGTAAACAAGACTATGTGGTGTCGTGAAATACTGTATCCCACAATGCAGTGGAGTTGGTTTGACCTTCCTTGTGCATTGTGAAAGTAATTACAGATACAGTTTTCTATATTTTTAACCTGATTTGATCTGACTGCGAGAAGCTATAAGACATTTCTACAGTCGTGGCCAAAAGTATTGGCAATGAAATACATTGTTTCGCACAGTTTGCTGCTTCAGTATTTGTAGATTATTTGTTCACATTTCTATGGAAAACAATGATAAGCATTTCACAAGTTTTAAAGGCTTTCAAAAATATTCAATAAATGCAAAGATTCAATATTTACAGTGTTGACCCTTCTTCTTCAAAATCTCTTTGAGTTCACTCACTCTGACGTGCTGATTTCAGCTTCACATAACCAAACCCTGACTGATGGCGATCCGTTCTTCCTTTATTAGTGCTCAGAGTTGATCAAAATTCATGGACTTCTGTTTGCCCACTTGTATTTTAAGGATTGGCCACAGTTTGTCTATGGCATTGAGATTCAGGGATTTTCCAGATTTTCCAGCTTCAACAGAGAAAATAACTTTGCACCAGTCTTCAGTTGTCCAGTCGTTGTACTTCTACCGATTTTCAGTCTGTCCTTGATGTTTTTCTTGGAGAGAGGTGGCTTCTTTGCTGCCCTTCTTGACACCAGGTCATTGTCCAAAAGTCTTGACCTCACTGTGCCGATATTGAGCCGCTCCGGTGTCATGATACTGTATCTGACTCCTCAGGAAGAGACGGTCCTGGCTCTTGCTGGACAGTCTGGAACATCCTGAATCCTTTCCTGCAGTTGAACTTGATGATCTGATAAATGTTTTTTTTTCAGATGCAATATTGCAGCAATTTCCCTGCATGTGAGGCCATTTTGATGCAAATCAATAGTGAGTGCATGTCTTTCGTTGAAGTTAAAAAATGCTAACACAAGAACACAATGACACACTTCTTCCCTCCTTTTATAGAAATCAGTCTGCTCTTATAATCCAATCAAAATGACTCGTACTCATTCACACTTTCCCATATGCTGATGACATGATTAGTGAAATGATGTTAGCTGGTCATTTTGTGCCAGGGCCAAAAAACAAAACAAAACAAAAAACAGTAACATTTAGGGTTACAAATGGTAACAAGTAATTTTTTGGCCACTGACGCTTTTTGCAATTATTTAAAGGGATAGTTCACTTTGAAATTAATTTTTGGTATGTTGTAGCTTATCTCAAGGGCATCCAAGATGTAGGTGTCTTTGTTTCCACAGTATTTTCAATTTTGATATTTTTAGGTCAAACCGTTCTTGTCTGTCAGTCATATAATGGAGGTCTATGGTCACCACCTCAAAGAGCATGCACAGAGAAGTCCAAAATAAACATGATTTAATGACTCATAAATGTAAGTACACATTGATGGCACACGAGCGGTTTGTGTGAGAAAACGAACAGTATTTATATCGTTTTGACCTCTTGTAATCACATTCACTCTGAGGTACTCAAGATCTAAACATATTTAGATATACAGGAAATTGCAATGGAAGACGATTTTGATATATCAACAGACAAAGTTGAATTTTTTTCCGCAACCGCCCGAGAGATCACTTCCGGCGCATTCCGACGCTTGCGCAAACCGAAGTGCCCGTGCTTGGATGTGGCTTTGGTTACAAGAGGTAAAAACGATATAAATACTGTTTGTTTTCTCACACAAACCGCTCGTTTCGTGTCTTAGGCCATCAATGTATACTTACATTTACGAGTCATTAAATCATGTTTAATTTGGACTTCTCTGTGCATGCTCTTTATGGTGGTGACCATAGACCTCCATTATATGACTGACAGACAAGAACGGTTTGACCTAAAAATATCAAAATTGAAAATACTGTGGAAACAAAGACACCTGCATCTTGGATGCCCTTGAGGTAAGCTAAAACATATCAAAAATTAATTTCAAAGTGAACTACCTCTGATCACTGTACACAATAATCTAGAAACAATGTGAATCAATACCACAACAACTGAAGCAGCGATCTTTGTGAAACGCAAAACTGTAAATTCTGTTCATGTGTCCTGAATCTGTATTTCCTATGATGCGTCATCATCATCATCAGAGTGTCCTGAGGGCCAGTATGGAGCCGAGTGTAACCGAGTGTGTGAGTGTGAGAATGGTGCCGAATGTGACCACATCAGCGGAGCTTGTACCTGTACCGCCGGCTGGCTGGGATCACACTGTGACAAGAGTGAGTAACAAACAAATGCATTCAATTTCAGAATGATTGACATACATACCACAATCAGCAGAGTTGTCAGTACAACGTTTTTGTCAATGCATGTTATTTTGTATTTTCCTGGCCATTTATCTTTCTCCACCATGAAGAGTGTTTTCATACCCCTAATGCACTGGGGCCTCTTCTTCACCAGGGAAACAGGAAGCCTCAATCAGTCTTGGAGGGCAACCCACCCATCATGCAATCTGAGTGTGTGTAAAAAGGAATGTTTTTGATTCCCGTTTTCTCATTGAAACGCTCACTCGTCACACAGTCAGGCAACTTTTTGTTTAGTTTGTTTGGTGTGTCACAATGACATCAATGCAGGAAACCGAAATCATATGTTTAAAAAAATATCTAGTTAATAAGAGCTAGAAGCATTTTGTCCTCCTTGACCTGTCGTCGAATCTGCTTCTAGTGGTTAATCTGAGCCACTGACAAAACATCTCACAAACTTACACACACACAGACACACCCTGCTGGATCCATGACAGCATCCTCTGCTTAATGAGACAGCCACATGCAGCTGGTGCACTTTATGAGGAAACCACAATGCACAGACATACACACAGTGCCAAACATAGACGCTAGACTCCTATCTTAACTAAAAAATATACACACACACGCATACAAGATGCATGGACAGGCATCTGGCTCATACCCATTTAGCACTGCACAGCCCCCGGTTTTCAGCCTAGATTGCACACACACCGTAAAGGTTTGCGGTCAGCCTAGATTGCATGTGGTGAGATAAAAGATTGTGCGCCGCAGAATATTGGCAACTATTGAGTTGAAAGAAATAACACACCTATTGTGCAACCAGTGTAGTCTATTTCAGTTGGTCTATTTGTAGTGAATCAAAAGCACAACCGGTGTCTGATTCACGGACAAATGACTCTTTAAACCAGATCATCTAGCAACATCCTGTAGATGTTCTTTTAAACTTATAATGGCCTAAATGCACGGAAACTAAATCATAACACATTATGAAAATGTTGTTTGTGTGTTTCTGTGTTGCTCAAATCGAATGTGTGTGATGAGTGTTTCAATGAGCGAACAGGAATCAAATACATAACACTACAAGGCAGGTACAACTAGTGTCGTGAATCCGACTACACTAGTCGTGTATCAGACTAATCGGACTAGTGAATTGAATTTGCAAGTGAATCGGAATGAGTGACTCTAATGAACCGATCCTTTTTTAGAGAATAAAAAACATTTAGTGTAACCAGTGAGTGTAGTGTGATTCATGGAATAATGACTTTTAAATCAGTGTTTTTTTTTATGGGTCAAAAACAGGCAGCACAACGAATGTAGTCTGATTCACAAACAAATGACTCTTTTTAACCAGTTCTTTTTTAGTGAATCAAAAACACTATAGAAAGGAAGTAAGCCAAAATAACTTCTTGTATCCATGTGATGTGGTTGAGGGTGCTGCGAACTATCGTTCATATGATAACCAGGGCCGACAGAACGGATCTAGATTCCGCACAGCAGGGGAAAAGAGTAGTAAACCTGTCTCAAGTCAATTGAAGCCAACAAAGGAGATTTGGACGGGGCAAAACCAGGTCTTATAAGACCATTAGCGTTCCATCTCCATCTGGATCAACTCAACCACCATTGATTTAGATGCATAAAAGCAGATTGTTTTAGTTTATAGTGGACTTTTACATTCACAGATTTCATCTTTAATAAATCAGGGCCTGACTATAGAGATCAGGTCTCCGTATAGGCACCACAATTCCACCCGTCCGTCTTGGGACGTTTTCAACTCGGTAGTTCATCTAGATGTAGCCAGCGGTTCCACTCATGTTCCATAGGCTCAGATGTCTCCCATACTTCTTAATCATACAACCCGACTGAATAACAGCAGACTCACACACACACACACGTGTGGCGGGTGTTTAGCGAGCTCTTGAATGCTATCATCGGTCTCCATCTCTGAGGGCCTCAGCCGTGAAACACATTTTACCGGCTGCAGTCCGATCACAACCATCCACTGCCGTCACAGACACACACACACGCACGCACGCACGCACGCACACACACACACGTGCTTTACAAGATCTTATCAGGCTGATGGAATACTAGACCGATCTCTTGTGATCACGCGTCTGCGTGCCATATGCGCCGTCGCTGTATGAATGTATGTGTTCATACAGAGAGATTGCGATTTCATTTGCATGTGTGTGTGTGTGTGTGTGTGTGTGTGAGTGAAAGCCAGTAGAGTGGAGTCTGTACAAAGTTTTTGTCTTGTTGAATATTGTTTTAGAATAACTAAACAAACTAAGCCCCAATTTTATTTTATTTTATTTATTTAAAACTAAGAAAACAAATGTGTGTATGCACGCATAATATATATATATATATATAATGTGTATATAGGTGTGTGTATGCATGCATAAATATATGTATATTAATATTTATAATGTGTATATAGGTTTGTGTATGTGTATACGTATGTATATATTGGGCTGTATATTATCTACTTATTTCACTATAATTTTTATATACATTTTCTTGTAAATATATATGTATATAGATTTTTTTATTTATTTTTATTTATTTTTTTATTTATTATTATTATCTTTTTTTTGTTGATGTGTACTTTTGGTTTAGTTTTAAAGTAAAAAAGAAAAGTGTCAATAATTTATAATCTATTGTTTTGTAATATCATTTGGTTTAATAAAAAAGTTTGAGCAAAAAAAAAAAAAAAAAAAAAACAACTAAAAGAAAACTGCTACATTAAAACATTAGACGCCATTTTGGCCAGGTGCACTACATTTTGTATGCAAACCCTGAGCTTTAGGTCCAAAAAAAGCAGTTTATTTGCACAGGAGGCATATTTCGGTACCCAGACAGTGAACCTGTGGGCTCTGCAGGTGTTCTAGTTTCCTCGAAATGTCTGTCTGTCTGTCTTCCTCACACACACGTTGACTTTGTTGTGGTGAGGATGTGCCGCACATGTGGCGAATGAGATCACGCAATCAATGCTGACGAGGGCAGTTCACACGCTGAGCGTTCGGCAGGTAATGAGACATGAGAAAGAGATGAGCAGGATGAAGGGATGAAAGATGGATAACTCCACACGGATACTAGTAAAACAGTAACCTAATTATATTCGAATCAGAATTCCGCCACTCTGTTGGCTCTCTGATGCCTCTGGGGGGGATCTATGAGCATGACTTTCCAATGATGTACATTATAACACACACACACACACAAACGCTGCTGACTCAAATCTTCTCTCCTCCTTAGGATGTCCTGTTGGGTTTTACGGGGAGGACTGCTCGCAGATGTGCCAGTGCGGGAATGAGGCCCAGTGTCACCACATCACAGGCGCCTGCCGCTGCACCCCTGGCTGGGCACCGCCGCAATGCATTCTGGGTAAGCCGCCCACATCATTAAAACGGGGTGTGATTGGAGGCTCATCTCCGGCTGAAGGCCGCATCCTCGCACAGAAATAACCCTACAATCGCTCACCCAAACACTGTTTATCAGCTCGCTGACACATTGGATGCAGTTTTTAATGTGTATGTGTGTGTGAATAAAGAGTGGTTAAATGCATGCATGTTTACTGTGGAAGGATGCTTTTTAGGAGTGTTCTGTTTGTGTTTCTGTCAGTATTTTATTAGGCTAAGATGCTTTTTTAAGAGAGTTCTGCGGCACATTTGTTTAGTACTATCCGTCTTCTCATGCGATCTCCCGTCAGTAGTTTAATAGATCAGGGGCCCAATAAAGATTTATCTCTCTTTCTGTTTCTCTCTCTCTCTCTTTTTAATGAAGTGAGGTTTGTGTTAAAGATCCCTCTCTCAGATGTTGTATTTTTACGTCTGGCTTTCCAATGACATGCTTTCTCGCATGTGATGAAACTTCTCTGGAGTCGAGTGATGTTATTAGTTAGCTTTGCGGTCCTTCTTTTTTATCTAATCATTATTTAGATTTGCATCCACTTTTTCTCATTTATTTTTTTAATATGTTTCGCAGTAGCAAAATCTCATGTCATTTGTGTCTGGTAAAGCAGATGCGATATAAAAACCACTTACAGACATCAAATGAAGTGTTTAAAAATAGTTATAGGTTTGTTATCTGGACACATAAGGGCTTTTACACTTCAAAATTTCCCCTTGGGTTATCACTACCGGTCAAAGGTTTGTGGTTATTATTTTTATTTTTTATTTTATTTTATTCAGCAAAGGTGCAATGTTTTATGTTACAAATAAATGCTGTTATTTTGAACTTTCTTTTTTATTTAAAATTTTCATTGATTTCCGGAGGATCATGTGACGCTGTGTGAGTAATGATGCTGAACAGCTTTGATCACAGGAATAAATTATATTTTAAAATATATTCAAATAGAAAACAGTTGTTTTAAATTGTAACAATATTTCACAACATACTGTTTTTACTGTATTTTTGATTAAATAAATTCAGCCTTGGTGAGCATTAGTTAATAAATCTTACCAATCCCAAACTTTTGAACGGTAGTGTATTAGTAGCTGATTTACAATCAAATGTGAATATGAATGAAAATTAATAAATTACAGTTTTTTCACATATCTTTTTGAATCAACATAATAAAATTTCACATTTGCCTTATTTGTAACATCTAGAGTAGATCATCTTCAGTCTCTTCACTGAATATAAATGCATGTGTGAGTGAATGAAGACAAACATTTATTTGCGTTTTGCAAAGTACTGCATATTTAGATTAGTAAAAGTCTATTTTGTTTCATATATGTGTTTGTGTTGTAGCTTGTCCAGCGGGTATATTTGGTACCAACTGCAGTCAATCATGTGACTGCCACAACGGAGGGTCATGTGACCCCGTGAGCGGCCAGTGCCGGTGTACACCTGGGTGGACAGGAACCAGCTGCCAACAGGGTGAGTTAAAACACGTTTAATGGGTACTTTCCATAGACATGATGATTTATATGCTACCCCCGAACCCTAAACACAACCTTCACAGAAAACTTTCTGCATTTTTCCTCATGGTCAACCATCTATTTGGTCTGCATTGTCAGGAATACAAGGACCACACATAGGCCTACTTACACACGCTAAAATGTAAAACACGTATGTACTCATATTTAATGTAGTATTATTATTGAATGTACACAAATAGACAGTCATCAAACAAACACATTCACACAACACCCAAAGACCCTATATACTCATAAACACATCTGTCTCTCTCACAGACTCACTCAGTGCACTTTATTTGGCTGTAGTTAGTAAGATGTAAGTGATTACAGTGATTTATAGTGAGGAGTTTGTAAGCACTGATAGCCGCGATTCACATGTCATCGCACAAATTACTGTATTCTGTCTCCATTACACACTGGAATGTTCACATGGCTGAACGCGGGCCGCTCACTCCACAATCCATCTGCTTTCTCTCTCACTGTCTGTGCGTTGTGTGCATAGCCTGTGCATCTGGATGGTTTGGGAGAAACTGTGAGCAAAGATGCATCTGTCCAGTGGGCGTGGCCTGTGATCATATGACAGGCAGATGTGGATGTCCTGCAGGGTACAATGGGAACAGCTGTGAGACGAGGAAGACTCTATTTCATATACAGTATTAAACTGATTCGTAAGACCGTTTTTAAAATAACAACTCATTCGACCTCTAAATCTCCCAGTAAGACTATAACTCAGTACTTCAAATATATTAAACAGTCTCTTATGCTCATCAAAAAAACAACAACAGTAAAAACAGTAATATTGTAAAATGTTTTAGTAATTATAAACATATAATTACTGTTACTGTTATAATTACTGTTACATATAATAACCGAAGTTAAAACCAGTTGTGCTGCTTAATATTTTAGTATTTTTTTATATTACACTTAGTCCTCATAGTATATATAATGCAATTGTGCTTATTCACTGTATATTTTCTGTCAAAATCGGTAAAGAACTTGTTTGTATGTTTTAGATAATTTCCCTCAATTCAAGTAGGTCTTCAAACTGTAGCAAAAGAAATGTCTGCTGTATTTAATTCATGATTTTAGGTGTAAATCTAAAATTACACTGTAGACTCTGTTAATTCATTAGTGCTAGATTATAATGACACGAATTTATGTCTGTCCATTTATACATGCACATCTATTCATATGACCAGCTTAATCAGAACAAAGGGAGGAAAAGACAAACATCCATTTTTAAGATTTAAGATTTTTTTTTTGTTACATTTACAGCAACATTTTGTTGCATTCAAAACTACGGTGAACAATCCTACAAACCGCCCCACACAAACTTGGACGTCTTATTACACACGCTGGGGTTTTGCTCCCTGACTCTCTTTCAACACCCTCCATTTCTCTCACTCTCTCTTTCTCTCTCTCTGTGGATGTGAGACATCTGATAAAGGTTAGTGCTGAGCGGCCAACTCAAACAGCAGGCTTTGTTTTGTCTGTGTAAGGATAAGAAGTCTGGAACAGACATGAACACACACACACACACACACACACACTGCAGTAGACACGGCTAATGACAACAGTCTAATTATTCTCTTTAGTCTGGAGTCTGAGCTTATCTCTTACACATGCCGGTGGGGTGAACACACACACACACACACACACACACATAGATGGTCATACAAAGATCTGTACTAGTCTTGACAATAAGGATGATCTCTCAGCCAGTGTGAGAGACTTTCAGGCCAGTTGCCAGACCTGTCTTTTGTCATGCCAGTGTGTTCAACACGTTATGTGTGCCATCATGTAAATGTGTTTAAAAATGTGTACTTTTTTTTAGATCAGATTCAAATGTTACTGTGCTATAAATAGTGTATGCATGTATATACTGTATACTATTTTATGAAAATATGATAAATAGTACAACATATTTTTGGCTGTGTATAACAACATTATATATATATATATATATATATATATACATACAGTATATATCAGATAATAATTTATAAGATCTAAACCACTGATCCGACTTGGCCAGTGGAAAACATCCTTACCGTTTTGCCCTGAATATAGATATTTAAATATATGTATTTCCATATAATCATTTGTGTGGAAAATTCTATGAAATGGACGCAGCTGACGCACTCCCACAAACAAAATCATAAGCCCTGTCTTCTGTCAGATACCCTAGACGTATGTGAATGTGTATAAATGTAAGCATTTTTGAATGACGTTACGTGAAATGTCTAGCCTCCCCTTCATATCATATCATATCTCCTTCCTGTCTGAGGCCCGATGCCTTTTCAGGAATGTGTCTAGACAACTGGACATTTCTGTGGAAAACTCACACATGTATGTATTTTGTCATGTTCTAAAGTTCTCTCTTTCTCAGTGTGTCCTCAGGGCAGGTTCGGCCTGAACTGTTCTCAAGTGTGCACTTGTTCTGGAGATCAGTACAGCTGTCATCACGTCACGGGGAAATGCAGCTGTTTACCTGGATACTATGGCAACCGCTGTCATCTCAGTACGACGTATTCCTCAAATCTCTGCTGTTTGACCTATAAAGCTGTTTTCATTGTAGTTCAACCAAACCAACAGCTCATATACAAGCTGATCTAATAGACAATGGTTATATAATCATACAGTACAATACTGCACAAACGTTTGGGGTCAGAAATATTTTTTTCTTTGCTAGCAATGAATACTTTTATTTATCAATGTCACATTAAATGGATCAAAAGTGACAGTACATTTTTAAGAATAACGTTACAAAAAAATCTTACTGACCCCAATGTTTCTGTATGTTATTGTGTAGTTACGTATAGTGTGCTAAAATCAACCTGTATTTAGTGTAAAAACCTATAAACTCCAGGGTGCTTTAGAAGAACTCAATTAAACGGTTTAGTTAGCATAAATGACAACTACTAGTGGACTGCGTATATCAAAGATACTCCCGTGTTTTCTTTCCTGCTCCTCACAGGGTGTCGAGAGGGCACCTACGGCCCCTACTGTAAGAAGAGGTGCAGATGTGCCAACGGAGGCCGATGTGACTTCAGGACAGGCTCTTGCATCTGCCAGCCAGGATACTTGGGACCCAACTGCAGCACCAGTAAGAACCTGATGCTCAATTGAGTGCCCAAGTTATGACGTCCCTTTGTAGGACAACTGGGAAGTTAGTGGCGCATGGGTTCTCTCGATCGAAAAGCTATGCGTGACCCTTACACGTTTTGTCCATCAAGATAATCTTTACAAGTTAATACAAAATGTATACATTTTGAAGCCTATATAAAGATTTAAAAAAAAAAACACAAGCAGACACAATAAAGTTTAAAAAACCACAAGCAGGTTATAACTGGTGTGTTTTATGTCATAGACCAAAACGTGAAAATATTTAGAGGCTTTGTTCACCACATACCTTATTTCAGGCTATTTAGCAAAAACCCATTCAAAAATCCCGTAGACTTTAGGGTAGGGAACTGGAAGTGCTAAAATGCTAACTCACTTTGCGGTTTGGCTTACAAAGTGAAGTCGTAACTTCGGCACTCTATTGATGGCCCTGGTGGGTGTGGTTAATCATTGGTCTATGCTGAGACCGCTCTCTGTTGCAAAATATTATCTGTCTTTCTCTCTCAGGTTGTCCCAGAGGTCGCTACGGGAGAGACTGTGCTCAGGTGTGTTTGTGTGGCGAGAGAGGACAGTGCCACCCAGAGACTGGGAGGTGTAACTGCGCCTCTGGAAGAACAGGACCGTCCTGCGAACAAGGTAAATAGAGTGCCGAAGTAATGACGTCACTTTGTAGGCCAAAACGCGGAAGTGAGTTAGCATTTTAGCACTTCCGGTTCCCTCCCCTAAAGTCTATGGGTTTTTTTAAAATGGGTTTTTGCTAAATCGCCTGAAAAAAGGTCTGTGGTGAACAAAGCCTCTAAATATTATCACATTTTGATCTATGATATAAAACACACCAGTTGTAACCTGCTTGTGTTTTTAAACTTTATATAGGCTTCAAAATCTATACATTTTGGATTAACTTGTAAAGATTATCTTGATAGACAAAACGTATAAGGGTCACTCACAACTCTTTGTTGAACACAGATCTTATTTTTTGCGATTTTCCAAATGTCTATGGGCCGCTAACTTCCGAGTTGTCCTACAAAGTGATGTCATAACTTTGGCACTCTATATCTCTGTGGATAGCAGTATCGCAGTGTTATTTTAATATTATTATTTATTATTAAAGTATTTATTATTTTTTGAATGATCCTTTATTTTTATATTTTAATTTTCGTCATTAAGTTTGTCAAGTGCTTTTTTCATTTTTATTCATTTTATTGAATATTTCTGTTCATCTTTCATTTATTTTTATTTCAGTTTTTTAGTTATTGTAATTTCACTACTTCATCTTAATTTTATTTTCGGTTAGCTGCGGTTAGCTAACATTTAAAATTTTCTTCTTTTTTTTGAAAGTTTAAGTTTTCCATCTAACATTTGAATTTTAAATTTATTTCAAATAGTTTAAAAGTTTTAATTCTTTTTTGTTTAACAGCAACTCTTGTTTTTCCCCTTTTATTTTTCCTCTTTTTCTTCACCACTTATCTCGCCAACTTCTCCAACCTTTCAGTCATTCATTTCTTCTTTTTTCCCGTCTTCACCCATCCATGATCCCTCCCTCCCAAACCTACAACATTCACATCTCGTTAGAATGTGAAAGCCGTTAGTGTTATGATGACTTCATAACCAAAACAACACCGAAATATATTGCGTCTCACAGTCTTGCACTCATAGGCACTATTTGTCCTCCTGATTTTCTCCCAGGGCTTATTTACAATATTTAGTTAACAAATTTCTCCAGTTTCCTGCGTGAGGGAATTTGATCGCAGCACCCCTTTTCCTGAAGAACAGAAGCGAGAGATCAGATTCCTAATCTTCGTGTTTCATCACTCATCAGCTGGAATGAAACGGGACTTTCCAGGAGGGATTTTCTTAGCCTCCTTGAACATCTCGCAGACGTGCCAGTGCTTACGTTCGCCATGTTTAATGTTTACAGATGAGATGACTATAAGTAGCTGGTTCTCTATGTTCCGTGTCGGCGGATCTGCTGGCGAGGAAACAAATAAATAAGCAAGCGAATCAAAGCGATCGGCTTATTGTTTTCCCAATCTAAATTACCCAAAGAAACATGATTGCTCTTTAGCTGCGCTGCCAAATCAGACCCACTTTACCATTGCACTAATGATCTAGAGCTTAAGTAAACTTGTGTGTGTTTGTGCATGTGTGTGCGGCTGTTTGTAATCGAGCGATTGCATGTGTGGCCAGTTTTTTAAATGCATTTTGAGGGATGAGAGGGCCTGGGCTAATTGTAGTAATTGAGAAATTCAGAGTTTATTTGAAAATAATGCCATCTGTGCTCTTGTTGTTACTGGAAGTTTCCATCTGGATCAGGACATAGTTCATAGATAAAAAGATGAGGTGTACCATCCTCAATCGAATAGGGCTTTTGTTGGCTTATGAACATTAATTGTCAACGAATGTACATTTTTTTTCTTTGCTGTACAAGAATAAGAACGGCTTCAGGCTAAAATGAGATATACAGTGGAAATTAAGTGTTGACAGCATAATTTAGTGCTGGATGAGGATTAATCAGTGCTTGGTAAACCATCCTCATGTGGTTCAAATTGAAGACAGATCCATGCGACTTGCTGAAAAACAGAGTGTACAGATATGAAATACCATATAATGAAACAAAACAACACTTTTATCTCATATTTATGCACAGCTTTTTAGTATTTGTTTGCTGTTAAATGTGTTACAGCATGTCCTAGGGGGCGCTATGGAGTGCAGTGTCGCAATTTCTGTACATGTGCGAACGGAGGAGTGTGTGAACCTGTGAAGGGGATGTGTAGATGTGGGCTGGGCTGGACCGGACAACACTGTGAAAAAGGTGAACAAGCACACAAATACACAAACAATGTTTAGCAACATAGTATCGGCCCAGATCTGGTACACGTGGAATCAACACATACCAGATGCGGGCCGTATCTGGGCCGACACTATGTTGCTGTCTGGTCATGGAATTGCATCCTAACATAACCAGGAATAAGTGTGTAATTACGCGTTTAATTCAGAATGCATTCAGAATAAATACTTTTGTGTGCATGTGCTAGCTTGTGTTCCAGGTCACTATGGTGTGAACTGTGAGCACGAGTGTGTGTGTCAGAATAACGGAACATGTGATCGCTTTACGGGATGCTGCTCTTGCCCGTCTGGATACTACGGTTCTGCCTGCCAACACAGTGAGTTACAGACTTATCATCTTTACACTGCTAGAATGAATCATGTTTGCTACATTTCTGAGCTAGACATATATGAAATGGTTCCATATTCCAGGATGCCCTGCTGGCTTTTTTGGAAAGCTCTGTGCAGAATCATGTGACTGTAAACATGGACACCTGTGTGATCATGTGACCGGACAATGCGTGTGTCCTCCAGGTTACCATGGCGAACAGTGTGAAAAACGTAAGTCACCTCAGCTTTAAAACATGTACATAATCAGCATGAAATTACACTGGGTACTTCATCTGAGAATTCATGACTTACTTTCTTTAGTGGAACAAAAAAGTGAATTTTGTTAAGAAAGTAGTATATTCTCAATATGATCAAAGTAAATAAGGGCTCTCAAGCACCAACATAATAAATAAAGACTATTACAATGTAATACAACTACATCCCAAGTCGTGTAAACCCATACAATATAGACTCACCTAAAGGATTATTAGGAACACCTGTTCAGTTTCTCATTAATGCAATTATCTAATCAACCAATCACAGGCCGGTCTGAGTATTTCAGAATCTGCTCAGTTACTGGGATTTTTACACAAAACCATTTCTAGGGTTTACAAAGAATGGTGTGAAAAGGGAAAAACATCCCGTATGTGGCAGTCCTGTGGGCGAAAATGTCTTGTTGATGCTAGAGGTCAGAGGAGAATGGGCCGACTGATTCAAGCTGATAGAAGAGCAACTTTGATTGAAATAACCACTCTTTACAACTGAGGTATGTGGCAAAGCATTTGTGAAGCCACAACACGCACAACCTTGAGGCGGATGGGCTACAACAGCAGAAGACCCCACCGGGTACCACTCATCTCCACTACAAATAGGAAAAAGAGGCTACAATTTGCAAGAGCTCATCAAAATTGGACAGTTGAAGACTGGAAAAATGTTGCCTGGTCTGATGAGTCTCGATTTCTGTTGAGACATTCAGATGGTAGAGTCAGAATTTGGCGTAAGCAGAATGAGAACATGGATCCATCATGCCTTGTTACCACTGTGCAGGCTGGTGGTGGTGGTGTAATGGTGTGGGGGATGTTTTCTTGGCACACTTTAGGCCCCTTAGTGCTATTTGGGCTTCGTTTAAATGCCACGGCCTACCGGAGCGTTGTTTCTGACCATGTCCATCCCTTTATGGCCACCATGTACCCATCCTCTGATGGCTACTTCCAGCAGGATAATGCACCATGTCACAAAGCTTGAATCATTTCAAAATGGTTTCTTGAACATGACAATGAGTTCACTGTACTAAATTGGCCCCCGCAGTCACCAGATCTCAAGCCAATAGAGCATATTTGAGATGTGGTGTGAACGGGAGCTTCTTGCCCTGGATCTGCATCCCACAAATCTCCATCAACTGCAAGATGCTATCCTATCAATATGGGCCAACATTTCTAAAGAATGCTTTCAGCACCTTGTTGAATCAATGCCACGTAGAATTACGGCAGTTCTGAAGGTGAAAGGGGGTCAAACACTGTATTAGTATAGTGTTCCTAATAATCCTTTAAGTGAGTGTTGATGGCGAACAGACCATGTATCATCATTCAGTGAAAAAAAGCTCTTTTGCACGTTCATGAGAGTCTATTTTGTCTATATATCTTTTAAATATGGTTCTTTACAATTTGACAAAACCAGTGTTGGTTCTCTGTTTTTCTGTGTGCAGTTGTGCACACTCTGTATGTGCAGTTTGATGGTCTCTCTGACTTTGTGTTTGTATGTCAGGTTGTGACGCTGGGCGTTTTGGGCATGATTGTGCAGAACTCTGTGAGTGTGATGGGGCGCCCTGTGATCCGACCACTGGACAGTGTCTCTGTCCACCGGGAAAGACTGGAGAACGTTGCGAGAAAGGTACACTCAAACATCTTACGCAGACTCTCACAAACCTTACTTTTCTCTCACAAACCTTACTTTTCTCTCTTAACTCTCTCAGTTTGTGACAGCGGGTTTTATGGTCCAGGCTGTTCTTTCCTGTGTCAGTGTGCACACGGAGGCCAGTGTGACCAGCGCACGGGTCACTGCTCATGTCCTCTTACCTGGCTGGGACCCACCTGTGAGGAAGGTGAGGGTGTGTGTATGGGATTGCTTAGCTATACTTTGGGAGTAAAATTGTCCCCAGATGTTTTCAAAATCTCATAAAATATCATTTAGTATAAAAATGAGGGCTGTGATTTGACATGTTATAATACATATTATTATTATATAAATTAATCCACTTGTAACAGTAGAAGTGTATGGCATGTCTATATTTAGTTAAGCACGTTTGTGTGTGCGCGCGAGTCAGCTGTATGGTCTTTCTCTTTTTTTATCCCTCACCATCTCAAGCATCTTTCTTTCCCTGAATTCGACTTCTCTCTTTATTCCCGTCAGTCACGACACAGACCTGACCGTTTCTGAAAGCGTGTGTGACAGTGTGTGTGTCAGCCTCATTTTGATGGACCCCTGAGCTGTTAAGGGCCTCCTGTCTGTCTGTGTAACGACGCCTTTCTCTGACAGTTATTTTAAGTGAATCACAGCAGGACTTTGTGTGTGTGTGTGAGAGAGAGAGAGAGAGAGAGAGAGATTTGTGAATGAGTCTATGTAAGTTCATGAATGTACTGTATGACACATCTTATTTTGAGACTGTTAGGATATATTCTCATCTTCCTCATAACTTTTCTTTTTGTTTATTGTACTTATTTTATATTATAAAACATATATTTTATGGAGGACTGCATGTTCTGTGATCAATATTTGTGGAGGAAATATCAGTGAAAATTCTGAAATAAATAAAGATGTAATGAAAAATAAATAACATGAATATACAAATATATCAATAAAACTAATATTTAATATTGTTACTAATTTAATGAATACACTAGTAAATTGATAAATAAATGTGACTAAATTGCATGGAAATTAAAATAATTTCATTGAATCATGTATTTGTTTATTTCTGTACAGTACATATTTATTATTCACAATTATTTTAATGCAGTATAAATATGTCTTTATCATTTTCTTCTCCATTGATTTATTTTGTGCATATAATTTATTTGTCATTCATTTTTTCATTGCAACTATGTCTACGACACTACGAATTTAAAGAGTGTGTGAATCTTACAATGCGGTACATAAAAGAATATGGCATATCCTCTTATTACCTAAAATAATATACCAACAATGATAGAAAAGAAATCAAAAGCATTCAGTACAGATGTGGCAATAATCACTTTCTCTTTCCCTCAGGTGCTTCAATAGATCATGTGTCGCCTCGCGTACAGAAAAGGCGACGGCGTGTTTCACACTCCTAGTCCACAAGCACACACACTCTCCTTTGAGATCCCACTCGAAGGCGAGTGGCATGGGTGAATGAGTGTGTGAGGATCTATGTGACTTGTCATTATAGTGTTTTCCCCCAGACGAGCAAGCCACAGGAGAATTGGTACGAGGAAGCAATGCTGGAAAACACAGTCACACACAAACGCACACAAGACCACTGCCAGACTGTCAATGATTGTGTGTGTATGAGTGTCTTTGGAGAAGAGACACATTGAATGCTTGTTTTGTGAGCTCTGTGTGTGTATACACTCACTCAGTCCCACATCAGACAGTAAGCCACACCATCCGATCGGCTAAACGCCCACCGAGCCACAAACCCAGACCGAACTTCTCTATTACGGGATCAGAGTGAAGCCTCAACCGCTCATTTCTATAGTACATACCACAAATACACCACTAAAGTGTATACAGCAACACTCAATGGGATTACAGCCTTCCATACATACCATACACAGTCTAAAATGTACCTTGTAAATGTACACCAACTCTAAATTTAAAGTTTTTTTATGACATTGTCTATAAAATCCTCTTTTATGATACTTTTATGTTGTATTTTTAAAGTAATATGTAGCATGAATCGGGAACATTTCTGCTATAGATATCCTTTTCAAATCCATCTGGCTGGCTCCTGCGAGTGTGATGTATGCCCTGCGATGTGATTCCTGCGACAGCCTGACTGTAAATATTCACAGCATTGTCACCCATCATCGTGCCATCTGAGGTAAATTGTTAAAGCGGAGCTGTCCGACAGGATTTAGACACAATCTGATGCTTATAAACTGAACGAACAGTTTCTCCGAAAGACGTCTTACATGCCAAACAAATCTAATCTTTATAAATTGCGGTTCTTAGCGCTCACTCAACAGTCTTTTACTGTAAAGAAAATGCTGTAAAAAGTTGTTCCTCTGTTCTGTCTTTTTTCCTCTCAGGATGTTTTCCCTATTGGTTCTTAGACTTTTAATTAAATATGTTTGTACAGAAAATGTGTGTTGTTTTAACTATACTGTAAAACTTTACACTGTAAAAATAATGTTCTTACTCTGTATTTTTTCTGCAGTAAATATCCACACATTCTTAAAGGGATAGTTCACTTTGAAATTAATGTGTGATATGTTTTAGCTTACCTCAAACGAGCGGTTTGTGTGAGAAAACGAACAGTATTAATATCGTTGTAACCTCTTGTAACCACAACCACGTCAAAGTGATCTGATGGCGTGGCCGCTTAGGTCTGCGCAAGCGCCGGAAGTGATCTCTCGCGCAGTTGCGAAAAAATACATCGTTGTCTGTTGATATATCGAAATTGTCTTACATTGTGATTTCCTGTACATCTAAATATGTTTAGATCTTCACAGTGAAAAGTAACACTTTCGAAATCTCTGTGTAAACAATGAGTGATGTACACGCCCAAGAGATCACTTGGATGTTGCTGTGGTTACAAGAGGTAAAAATGATATAAATACTGATCATTTTCTCACACAAACTGCTCGTTTCGTGTCTTAGGCCACCAATGTGTACTTACATTTACGAGTCATTAAATCATGTTTAATTTGGACTTCTCTGTGGATGCTCTTTGAGGTGGTGACCATAGACCTCCATTATATGACTGACAGACAAGAACGGTTTGACCTAAAAATATCAAAATTGAAACTACTGGAGAAACAAAGACACCTACATCTTGGATGCCCTTGAGGTAAGCTAAAACACATCAAAAAATAATTTCAAAGTGAACTATCCCTTTAATTAAAGATATATTTACTTGAAAAGCAAAAAGAAGTGAGTTTTTGTTTAAAACTAAAAATATGCCAGTGGGGTGCTGAAAAATGACATTGTTTCCCTTTGAATTAAGTTTATTCTTTTACCCTATTAGCAAATTTTTCTTTGGTTTAAGTATAACTCATTTATTTTTGATTTTTTTTAATTCATTTTTGCTTCTCAAGTAAATGAATTTTCTATAGAAATAGAAAGATTTTACCTTGATCATCAGTGTCAAGCGCGCACATGCTATTATTTTTGATCACCCAAGTGAAACGTTGTTTGTAGGACAAGGTTTGTAGGACAAGGAGAGCGAGTGGGACATTGTGGATAGCATGTTCCTCTGCACCTCAGATGGGAGGGTCAAACGTATCAGAGGTCACCATACACCTGTCAGCCCACCTGAGTGGAACAGGCCCACTATGTGCGTGTGTGTGTGTTTGTTTGTCTCTGTCACTGGCACCATCGCTGTAGCATTTCTCAAGCGCAGCGGACCATCACTGCAGGTGGGAGAGCCAGTCGAGGACCCCTACGCCCTGACGCACACTGCCCGGCGTGAGTGATGGAAGCTCGGGGGCTGTCGGTGGACGGAGCCCTTGAGTCTGATGGATGGGACGGGGCTACGCTGGCCGCACCGTGTTGTGACAGCCTACAGATGTTCTCCAATAATGTTTATCAGCCCGAGCCCCCAGCAATGGATGACACACACCTGTTTCCAGTCAAACAGGGCTCTAGAGGCCATCCATCCACACACACACACACCTGAGTCCAGTCAAACAGATCGCCGTAGCCCATCTATTCACGGTCTGGGTGGCCATGGTACTGTACACCAGCTTTGATCAGCGGACGGGTGGCACATACGGACAATCGACTGGACAAACTAAGGTCCATCTTGTCTGTCAGGGTCACTAGAGCCATACGGCACAAAGCCAGCAGACTTCTTATTTAGCTGTTGCTTATTGCATCTTCACAGTTTTGTAGTCTTGGGTGAAATGTCGAAGGAGGCGAATGCAATTTTGCTGGGATGGCGTTAAGATGGATTTAGCTTTACTGCCCTGGCCCCGGTGCTTGCAGTTACCAATCTGTGTGTTCAATAAAAAGTATAATTAAACTGAGGCATGCAGATAAATATGAACTGCGATTAAAATATCTTCTTAAAATGACTGTCTTGCAAAGGAAAGAATTGGCGCCGGTGGTTTGTTAGACACGGCCAGGCAGAAAATATGCCCTATGTGTCAGTTTTATCTCTGTTCGTTTTGATGATATTTTAAACAAGTTTTTTTTTTTTTTTGTGCATGGACGTTATACTATTACACAACCCAGGCTTGTCTGTGACACGAATAATAAGCAAAGACAAGTTTTGCGTTTTGAAAGATGGCCAGATCAGTGGTTTTGTGATGAAAGAACCCATTGAAGAGGTCAGAGATGCGATCTGACGGGAACTTTAGCACGGAAATGACGCGTGTCAGCGAAGCGACGCTATCGGCCCACGCTGTGTTTTCGCAACGAAGAGATTAGGCTCTTCTCTTTCTGCGCTTGCCCCTTTCCCGGAGGACCGTGACTTTTTGAACTGGCGATAAAACTGAAGAGAGGGAAATCAACTCAATTGGGTCTCGCACCATTTGGGCCACTTGTTGGACAAACAACAAATCCTTAAATGCCAAAGAGCTGTTCTGGAGATGAGAATCAGCAAACTCCCACACTTACCCGTCTGTGAACGCATCTCAGAGGGTGTAAAAGCTTCATCATCGGTATGTGTACTTGTTGCACTTTATGTTTAATCTTTTCGACACTTGAGGAATGGACCTTTTTTGGGCTGGACAGCACCCACCCTATATTCAGGCCCACAGTGGGCCTACAATCTAATGAAGGTTGGCGGGACTACTCACAGCCTCTTTTTCATTCGCAAAAAATTAAAAATTGTGTCAGTGTTTGCAAAAACTGCTAAACTGAGCGTTGGTGAATTTAGGATTTTAAATACGGGAACCAAGTAATTTCCATAATGTTCTGTTCACGCTTTTTAGAAAGCCATGCGATTCGATTTCTGATTCGGTTGTTTTAGTGATTATTTTCTCTATATTATATTATTAAGGCAATATAGTACATTGAAACAGAAAACAAACAATACAAGTGTACAGGCTACACAAAGAAACAAATGTGAAGCCATAATATTTTTAAACCAGGAACAGGATATGCTGTAGGCCCATGGACACTAAAAGAAGTGGACAGAGCTATCTCATTGGAACTCCATTGAGACAAGTGAAGCCCATTTTTAGCGATTTTTTTTAGGACTTCCGTTCCTGACGCGCAGACTCAAACCGACTCAAACAGAGCTTGACGACGTAGATGTGACGTGAGCAACCCGTCTGTCTTCTAGATGCTATGGCATGAGAAATCTGAATCATTCCATTCAGAAACTTGCAGAGGCGGAGAGTTTGAGTAGGAGTTGTCCATGAGCTAGGAGCAGGAGACACTTTTGCTA